AAAACTTTGTGTCTCAAGAGACAAGTGAAGTGAAGAGCATCTAGACAGAGCTCTGCCAGTGACAGAGCTATGAATAGATTCAAGCACCCACAGCCATCCAAGAGGTGAGAAACTGTAGCTCTCTTGTTCCTCATTACCCATGTCACCATCTCCCCACCCCTCTGTCTTGTGTAGCTACCAGCAGCTGTCCTCATGGGGTTGGAAAAGAGCCAGAAACTGGGACTGAAAGCTTGCTCCCCATCCCTCTGATCACACACACCAAGCAGATGCCATCATGGCCTAGATTACAAAGGGAGCAGGGTTCCCAAGTGCAGCATCACCATCTGAGGACTCAGAAGCAAGGATGATTCTGCAGGCAAGGACTTTTGCTCTGGATATGCTTCAAAAGCTTCTCAGAAAAGTGCCAGAGTGCCTTCAAAACTTATCTTCAAAACTCCCCTGGCAGCCTCCTCAGCAAGGTCTGCATCCACACCATGTGCATGGGCCCTGAGAGGATCTTCATCCTCTGCCTGGTGTGTTGTTAGTGCTTCTTCTGAACTCCAGGGAAAGCCATGGTGGATTACAGGCATGTGCTTTGGCTCCTCTGCTTCCTCCAGCCTATCTTGTTTTTCCCAGACAGCAGCCTGCTCTACCCAAGCTACTGCAGACCATCCCACCTTGCAAAGAACCCAGGCAATTCTCCCTAGAGCACAGCCAGACAGGGAGAGCTGGCAGCCAATCCCCCAGCACCCCCATCCTGCACCACACACAGGGATCACAGCGCTGGAGGAGATCAAAGGTCCTGCTACAACTGCAGGTAATCCGGCCAGACAGTCAGAGGGATTCACTCTCTGTTGCAGACTTTATCTGGCTGCAAGAAGGATAAACCTAAATCCTCTACTGTATTTCCCCTCCCTGCCCTCCACCCTCTAGTCTGGAAGATGTAATATGACTTGTGGCTGAGACCAAAAGGCAATATTTAGGAACAGGTCCAGGAAAAATATGTCACTTAGAGCAAGGAGGTGACAAGGGTGACTGAAGTCTCAGAGGAAGGAGAGGGAAGGAGACCTGCAGTCTACAAACATCCTGCCTTGCAGACCTTGGCTCTGCAGCCTCTCACCCTAAACCAACTGCATAGAGGAGACGTGTTCCATCCCAGAGGCTGGAAGAACCAGCCAAGGTAGATGTCCCCACAGGAGGTGGCAAGCTTACAGGCAACCAGTCCAGTGCCAATGTCACCCAGCCCAAAACTGGATCCTAGGTTCAGGATCCAACTCAGACCCTACCACTGCAACACTGCCAGGACTGCCTGGCTCCAACACTCTGCACTGCCCTGGCACAGATCACCTGCACCGTGGAGCTCCCAGAAATGGGCAGAGCCTGCTAAGCTCTCCCCAACCCCACCCTGCACCAACTGATTTACTGACCACCATCTCAGCTTGAGCTTTCTGCCATAGACCACCAGCCCAGGGACAGGAGGACACCTGAAGGGCTGGGCTGAGGATGGCACCAGGGGGAGCCCCACAATGTGGCAAGGAAGGCTTCACCCTCAGGAGCCCCAGGCTAGTGGGTCAGGGGAAGAATGGGGTGTTTGGAAGGCATCCTGGGGTTTTCCATCCATCCCTCCAAGGGAGATGCCTGAGGTGGCTTCACCTCCTGCTCACCCATCACCCTGAGCTGCTGTCATGGCAACACACACTCCAAATCAGGTAGGAATGGGTACTTCTGCTTGTTTAATCGAGGAGGAGGCAGCACCCTGGTATTTTGAACAAGGAAGGAGGAGGGGAGCAAGCAAGACAGTTGGCACGCAAGCCGCCTGCAAGAGGAGTGCAATGGTCAGCCACTTCAGCTCTGCTCCTCATGGCTGAGACACATGCTCATGCGGATGGTGATACTGCCCCCATGCCACACCAAGACCCCACATGAAAACAGGGGTGATAAAGGGATTGAGCTCCACGGGACAAAACTGGGACTGAGCACCCACCAGTCTGTATGACGTACTGGGTGCTCAGCACTAAGCTTCCCCTCCAAAAGGCAGACCATAATTCAGTGAGTCAAAATTCACTGAAACACCTCAGAAAGGTCCTCAGGTACATCAGGGGCTGCAAAGAAAACATGTATTACCTAGCACTACCAAAACCCCTTTGGGAGTAGCTCCTATGCTCGTGGGTGATGGCTGTCCTCTCCATTTCCCAGAAACAACACCAGGACACAAGCACATCCAGCATCACCCATGAACCATAAGAACAAGATGAGCATAGAGTCTTTTCTTTGAAACCCCACTCATACCTACAGGAAAAGCAGGCAGTGCTTTGATTTCAAAGCTATTGAATCCAAATGATCATGAGCAAGCCAGCCCCTCTCCAGGGAAGAGCTGCATGGCAGTCTGGTGACCTTCTACACCACCTCCACATCCCAGCCCCTGAAGAATAGGTGGAAATCTTGCTCACAGCAACCCTCACTCCTGGGAAGGCAGCACCAGCAGCACGCAGGCAGTCCTGGTTCCCTCGGGTGCAGAGGAGGCAGGAGCTGAGGGAGGCAAAGCCATCTAGGGAGTGCTCAGAGGTCCCATGCTGGAGAGCTTAGAGCTGCCTCCAATCTTTCCTGGTTTTCAAGAGACTTTAGTCCAGCTGAGCCCATAGGAGAGACACAATACAGTCAGGAAGACAGAGCAAGACTGGAGCTTGCCCACTGCTTCACACCGCTGAACAGCTTGGCTGGACAGCCAGACCTCACCTCAGCAGTGCAGAGCAGACTATTGCAGTGGCACAGCACTACGGAGAAGACCAGCACCAAGTTCAACAGGACCAAGAGGAGCTGTGCCACTGCCCCTGCCAAGCCACATGCCACAACCACAGTCATCAGGGACACCAGTGAGCCATGAGCCAACCACAACCTCTGTTTCACCCCTTTCCCCCGGCACTACATGCACCACAACAGATCTTCTCACCAGGGTGAGCCTGCTGTGCTGCAAGACACAGAGGCTTCAGGCTTCAGTGCCAGACCCTGGGCTCAAAGCCAGACCCATTCTGCAATCCCAGAATCTGGTGGTCCACACTCATATGAACCCTGCTTGCAGCTTGCTGACCCAACTTACCTCTGGAGAAGTGGCAAAGCCAGATGCTCTCCTGTGCTGCAGTCTCCAACCCTGCTGTCCACAGCCTAAGGAGGTTATTTTAGAGCTTGCTCGCAATCACCAAAATGGCCTCTTCATGCACATCTTCAGAAAAACAAAAAGAAGGCAGCCAGGAGGCAGGAGTTGTCACTGTTGTGTCCTGGCAAGCTCTCTCCATTTCCCCCAGCTGTGAAATGGGTACTTACATTTCCCAGAGGCCGGTGAGAGAGCTTTTTCTGGGTATCATCCAGCAATGATTATTTCATTCCTAGAAGCAGTGCTCAGAGAGGAGGAGGGAAACCCAGTACCACACAACACAGTTATGGTTGATTCACCCAAGAATCCCAGTCCCTTTCCTGCAGCTCTGGTAGAAGCAGGCAAGGTCTGAAGATGCACCCTTTGGTAGCAGCAGATTTGCAGAAAACATCTGCTGCAGAAGTCAAGGGGCTTCCCTGGTTCGATGGCACTGGAAGGGATGGCTGCCTGGTGAGGCATACAGGTTTTCCCCCATCTGACCTCCCTGGAGGTCAATATATTTGCTCCATATTTGATGTCTCCCACCCACAACACAGTTGAGAAAGGTTACATTGTATAGGGGAATATTTTTTGTAATGGGAGAAATCTAAAAGAAGAAAATTATTTGTAATATATGACAAAGCAGTTTAATGTATTGTGGTGCATGGGCAAGTCTCTGCAGGGTGCTGAGTGGGCGCCCTCAGCTTTCCCTCCTGGATGCCAGCCCTGAGGAGCAGCCTTTGGCCACCCCCTGCTCCCCATCTCCAGGAGAACCTTCCGAGGCAGAGGTATGTACCCAAACCACCTGTAAAACGGGCAGCAGCCAAAGCTGTGTCTGCTGTGCCCCGTGTCCGCTCTGCCAGGGATTTAGGCAGCCTGTAAGTGCAGCTGTGCCATTGTGTGCTTCTCTCCAACATCTGCCTGTCCTGCTCACTGAAAAAAGCATGGAGCTGCTGCTAATTTCATTAGCAAGCCCGTCAAGCGGTTCATCAATCTATGATTTCCTGGCTTGCCGCCGTGAGGAAACAAGCGGGATCTGCTCTGAATTCACAAAGACATCCTCTGGGGTAATTTGTCTGAAGGCTTAAAATTTCCCAAGTGGATTATTATCTTGGATTAAAATTGGGAGGGGGAGTGGGTTTCCTTTTTTGATTCTTTTTTTTTTTTTTTTTTTTTCCCCTTCCTGGAATAAACCTGACTATCCTCTAAACTGCCAGCAGCTCCCCAGCCGGGCAGCAGTAGTTGCCTGTCCCGGAGACACGCAGGGCCGGGCGGGAGCACAGGCAGCCGCTGTCCCGGCAAGTGGCCACTCGTGCTCCACTCACAGCAGCGGCGAAGCAAAGCCCACGGGCTCAGAGCCTGCCGACACGGAGAGCGGCACGGATTAGGTGCACGGGGCCGGCAAAAGGGATCTGAGAAGCGCCGGGGTGATGGAAGAGGCTCCGCCTCGCCCTCCGGGGAGCTACAGCTCCCACGGGAAACGCTCGGCTCCCCACAGAACGCGAGTGGCTGCGACCCCACGGCCGCGGGCTGGCGCTGGCTGGGGGGGCCGCGGTTCCGCGGTTCACAGCTCCCCCTCCTGGCTCCCTCCCCCATCCGCAGGGCCCAGCGGCCGGGGGGGCTCTGCCCGCCCCCTCCCCACTGCCGAGCCGGGCGGGGGGGCTCGGCCCGCCCGCCCCCTCCCCGCCTGCCGCGGGCAAAGAACGCGCGGGGACTTCGGGAGCGATGGATCCCAGACAAGGGGAAAGCTGGGGGCGAGGGCTCCTGGTGGTACAAGAAAAAGCAGAACAGAAACCACCTCATCTTCAACCAAAATCATCTCAGTAATAAGTAAATTAAATTGTAAAAAGTAATAATAATAATAGTTAAAAAACAACACACAGACAAACCAACCAACCAACCTGCAATTTAATTTAGGGCTGACAAAAAGCATCTTACCTAACCTCAAATTCTAATTTTGGTAATTTAACCTTTGTTCCCCCACCAATCCCAAAAAGCAAGGCCATGATTTCTAAATGAAAAATTCTCATACAAAATGAAGAGAGGCAGGCTTATGCAGGAGAGAAGAGAAAGGACAAAGCAAATACCCTCAGTTTTCTACCATGAGCCTTTCTGGGTTGATACTTCCTCATGTGTCATCCCATTATTTTAGCCAAACTAACTGAATTTTCCCCAGATCATTAATTCCTCCAGAATTCCCTTCTCCACCAAACCTTGTCCTCCTTGGAAACCAGCCCCAGCCCACTCCACGGACCCAGTGGGCAGGAGCAGGAGGTCCCAGATGCCTACATGCAGGTCAAGCCAAGCTGTGCGACAGAAGCAAGAGATGAAGTTGCATCCCCCAGGCCCAGCACCTGCACAGCACCGCTAGGCAGGGGTGGCATTGCTGCCTGTGCTGAGGTTGCTGCTGTTTGCAGGGTTTTGGTGGCCTTTCCTGCACTCCACCCCTCACCAACAAGCTGCTTGCACCGTGGAGCAGCAGGGCTGCAGCACAGCCCGGCAGAGCTCTGCCGGCTCATGCGACGGTGCCACGCTTTCCCTTCACACATGTGTCCTCATGGCTCTGCCACTCATTTCTCCTCCAGAAGGCACCTGGCCTGCAAATCCCCCAAACTCCCACCGAGTACAAGAAAACCTCCTGCCTAAGGAAATAAATGTGTTCTGTGCTCTCTCTGAGCTACCCACAGCAAAGCAAATATGGGCACAGTTTGACCCCACCACTGCTTTGTTCCTTAAAAATGTGTAATTTCAGTCAAACGCTTCCTGGAGCATCTGGCCGTCATTAGATAGAGGAGAGAGACAGATCCTGCGTTCCTTCTGTACACTGCACAACAGGCACTGTCGGGCCAGCAAGCCAGAGTCTTTACCTCTGTATGGTACTTGTCATCCAAGACATCCATAGCCCAAATGGAAATCATGCTGCCTCCGCAGCGGGAGGGCTTGGGAACGCCGTCCCCCGGGAAGCTGCGGTGCTCGGGGTACCGAGCGGCCCGCGCCGGGTGCCATTTGGCAGCACCAAATAAAGCAGAAGGGAAAAGGGAGGCAGGCAGGAGGATGGCAGCTGCCTGCCCTTCCAGCTCGATGTCCAGCCTCAGGGAGGGTGGTGGGGATGACCTCGGTAGTGACAGCGACCCAGAGAAGCCTCTCCATTCGCAGACATAAGAGGCACAGATTGGGCTGTCTTAATTGACTTTTAGTATCTTGTGGGTGAGGAGTCTCTCAGTGCAGACTGGGTGTCCGCAGACACTCAGTGGGGATTATTTACCTGAAGTGAGTTATAAAGGCTGAACCCAAAATGCATTTGTAAATATCTGGCTTCTGTTTTGGTCTCTCTCATTAGGGTGTTTTTTTATCTTCAAGGAAAGCAGCATTTTCCAAAGCCTGTCTCCTCCTAGGTCCCTGTATGGATGAGTAGGTGACGCATGGCAGGCTCTGGCCACCATGACTCTGCATCTCCAACATACATGGGAGGTCAGCATGCCCAGGTACCCCTCCATGCAAGGTTCATGTCCTACCTTCTGTTAAGGCAAAGAGGAGGAAGGATGGGCACAGACCTTTTGCAGAAACTGGAAGGAAGTGTTAGCAGTGGCATTAGCCATCCTCCTCATTTTAGTGATCCAAGTTCAAGGTCTCAGGTCGAGGTAATGAGAAAAGGGACAGGCCTGAGGAGAAGCTAGGAAAATCACCTGATTAGGAGCCATGGCAGAAGCTGCCATCAGGGCAGTGGCAGCAGCAATGTTAAGGACCTGAAAGAAGTCCCTGGCAAGGCAGCCACAGGATCTGCTTTGTGAAATATCAAACTGTCTCAGCACAAGGCCAGACATCATCTATCTGACCTCTGCACCCATCCATTGCATCCCATCAGGTAAAACTTTCTCCTAATCCTCAAGCAGACTGTCTGAGCTATCTGAGAAGAAGTCCTCCAGATCCTGCTGCTTCATCTTGGACTCCAGAACAGTGATGCGCTGCTTGAGCTTCATCTGGGTGTCACCGTATTCTGTCAGGAGCCGGCCAAAGCGGGTGTGCAGTGTGTCCAGGCTCAAGGCCAGCCTGTCCAGCTTCTCCTCCACGCTCTTTTCTTCTGTGCTTGCCTCTGCAGCTGATTCGTCCAGCAGCCCTTCCTTGATCAGAATCTCCCGGCCACGCTCCTCCAAGACCTTTTTGGCATCAGGATACTCTGTGACTGCTTCCATAAGATCTTCCTTTGACAGGCAGAAGAGATCAGAGTAGCCCAAGCTACGGATGTTGGCTGTGCGCCTGTTGCCCATTTTGCTTCCTTTAATGTTGAGGATGCTGATCTCACCAAAGCAGCCTCCTGCAGTAAGCAAAGCATACTGTGTGATTCCATCATCCGCCACCACGGCCAGCTTCCCCTCCTTGATGATGTACATCTCTTTCCCAATGTCTCCTTTCCGGCAAATGTAATCCCCTGGGCTGAACACCTGAGGGCGAAGCTTCAGCACCAGCTCCACCAGTAGACCTGCCTCACAGTTCTGGAAAATCCTCACTTTCTTCAGCGTCTCCAGGTGAACGTTGATGGCAATCTCTGCCCTTAACTTATCTGGAAGATTCTTGAGGATTTCCCGTTCATCTACTGCCTTCTTGTTGGTCCACAGGTAGTCAAACCACTTGATGACTTTGGTTTCCATGTCTTTGCCCACCTTGCGGAACTGCATGTAGTGTTTGATGGCATCAATTTTTGCCTGGAATTCTGCCCTGGTGGCGTTCATGTTGGATATCATGGATCCCACATTCCCCACAATGGTGGCAAAGATGAGGACACCGACGAGGAAATCAAAGATCACAAAGAGGTACTCCTCATCACGCACAGGGGGAGGGGTCTCTCCAATGGTCGTCAAAGTCAGCGTAGACCAGTAGAGACAGTAGACGTACTCCCGAGCCAGATACCCATATTCAGGGTCTGTGATGTTGGGATAGACCCAGGTGTCCTCTCCAAAGCCTATGGCTTTGGAGATGGCATAATAAATGCATGCATTCCAGTGGATGATGACCAGGATGTAAAGAACCAAGTTGCTGATGCGGAAGATGTTGGGGTGGCTGGTTCTGGTCTCAGTCCTGTCAAAGAACTCAAACATGCGGGAGAAGTGCAGCAGCCTGTTGAAACGCAATTCAGGGCAGTGCAATCCCACAGCAAAGTATGCCAGGTCTGTGGGCGTGATGGAGAGAACATCCAGCTTGAACTGTAAGGTGTGGATGTAGTTATCCCGTAACTTCTTCAGGTCCTTAACCAGAAGGCCCTGTTCCAAGAAACCTAACAGAAGCGAATGATAGAATTATCTTGGCTTATGTTCAACTCTTCTGCAGGCTTTGAAAGCACTTCTGAGAAAAATTTTATGGTATGCCATGCACATGTGTGCATATATACACAAGGTCATCCAAATATTACCAGTTTCACCTGATCTACTCAGTTTACAAGCTGTTGTTACCACTCAAGCCCTTTATCCGACAAAAGCCACCTAAAGATATCACTTAGGGATTTAGAGTGTTGCCACAAAGAAATGGGGACACAAAGGTTTCTGTCCTCCAGATCATAAATTATTGCAGTTCAGACAGAAAATGTACAGCCACCTGCTGCGTTCCGAGAACATTAAATTCTACCATTTTTCAGTGTAGATAATTCATTAGCTGAACTGATGCAAAATCAGATACAGACCTTCAGCTATGCCCGAATACTAATAGTAATGCAGGTAATTTTGTACAATTATTCAAAGGTGAAGTTGAAAGCTGGGATGATTAATCTTTCATTCTGAAACTTACTCTGTTTCTCAGATCTTTTAATTAGATTTTTTCTCTGGAGACTGCTTCGTACTAGTGAGTGCCAAGGTAGACAAAACCCTCCTCCTAATGGAGCAGTAGATTAAGCCTCTCCCTTGCGGCTCATGTCCACTTTTAGGGGAAAAAAAGCACTCACAAGTCAGGATGCCACTTCTGCTTACCTGTGCGCAGGTGGACCACTATGTCCCCAATGTAGATAGAGTCTGAAATGTAGTCTAACACCAGCCAAAGGACAACATAGGTCTTTTGCAAATCATTGAAGCAAGCCCTGGAAGAAGGTCATAAAATAGGGTGGTAAGACCAACAAATCTCCATACTCTGAAACTATTACAGCTCATTATAGGCTGATTCTGAGGCTCCTAACTCTGCAACAGAGCTTGGCCACTCGCCCCTCTTCTTCTAGAAATTAAAACCGCTTTCTCTGAAAAATCTGCCCTCCCTTGACCTAGGTAAGGCAACATCTTGAAAACACCTCCCAGATTCACCTTGCAGCTTTACGCCAAAATCACGGTCCTTTCCAGCTGGGGGCAGAGGGTGGATGCTCTGCCTTTGCACCACAGAAGTCACAGTGATAGCAGGGGGTCCCTTTCCTTTAGGTTCCCACCAGCTCCAGCACCACCAGCATCATTTTTCTGATACTGGCTGAGCCGCAACAACCAGCTGAACAGGAGGATTAGGGGAGACAGGGACCCTGCAACCTCCCAGCTCACCTGGCTACAAGCAAGCACCAGTTATAGAGGACAGGAACTGCAATGACAGCCAGCCAACGGTAATACCAGTCCCCTGCAGGGTCCACCACAAAGTTCTGCCATTTCTTCCTGGAAGCAGAGAGAAGCCAGAGCTGGAAATGCATAAATAAAGGACTGGACATAGAAAATAGGGTTGGAAGGAACCATCTGAGCCACATCCTTCACCCCTTGCACTAGACGGGCTCAAACATAGCTGCAGTTTGAGTGACAATCTGTAAACTAACACCAATCCCAGTAGCACTGAGCAAAAATGTCTGGCACTGTTTAAGCACCTTTATCCCCAAATCTGTTCTCAGTAATGTTCCAGAAGAAACCGTAGGATGGTAAGGCAAGCCGGTGGCCTACATGCACACAGCACCCCAGTGGCAGAACCAGAAACAGCTACATGGAAGAGGGTTGTGCTGGGTTTGTGTGTGGCAGGGTTTCTGGTAGCAGAGGAGGGGGCTACAGCAGTGGCCCCTGTGAAAAGCTTCTTGAAGCTCCCCCACCCACTGCCCCCTGTGCTGCTGGGGGTGAGGAGATAGAGAAGTTGGAAGCAAAGCTGAGCCTGGAAAGGAAGGAGGGGTGAGGGAAGGTATTTTTAAGATGTGGTAATGCTTCTCACTGTCCTACTGTGTCTGTTAAGTGATGCTGCTGCTAGTGGCTGAATTAAATTAATGTTCTTTTTCTTCCCTTAAGGAGTCTGTCTTTTGCCCATGACCATAATGGGTGAGTTATCCCTCCCTGTCCTTATCTCAATTCCTGAGCCTTTTGCCTCATTTTTTCCTTCCCAGCGCTGAGAGGGAAGCGGGGAGTGAGCAACTGTGTGGTGCTCAGTTGCCCTCTGGGCTCAAACCACAACAAGGGTGATCAGAAAACTTCTTGTTACATGACACTGCATCTCCCAGATGAGGTATAGATTGGTGCCAGACAGATCTTAAGAGAAGATTAATAAGAGCAGGAAAGAAAATGTGCTGTAGCTCAGTGGGAGCTCCAGGAGAGGATGGCCAAGCCCCAAGCACCATGCGGCTCCTGCCCACAGTCTGCTCGCTCCTGGGTCCAGCCTTTGAACTGCTCCCAAGCGTTTGATCCTGCTCATCTTGGGACTCGGAGCCAAGATGTGTGTGCTCCAGTCACCAGATATCACTGGAGAATCAGAAGAGAAACTGTGGCTGGGCTGATAGGTTTAGCTGCTACAGCCTGGTAGGACAAAACTCCCTCTCCCCCTCTCTTCTTCCCTCCCTTCCAGCTTTTGAATGTGCAAAACTCTCTCCAGTCATAGGAAAAAAAAACAAAACCACACTTCCAATAGATTCCCCGTGCTCACCTCACTGCTTCTGAAAGCTTCAAAAGCAAAATCTCTGCCTTGAAGTCTCCTTCCCCAGTGGCACAGGCAGTGGTACCTGCGGTGCCCAGAGTGTGGGGACAGGCACTCAGTGCAAAGCCAGCAGCACTCCTTCACCTTCGCTCCAGGCACAGCCACAGACAGGCAGGTGGTCCAATCTCCCCATTAAAAGTGCCTATCTTTTGTTCAGAAACTGCAACTTAAATGTTTTTTGAGAAAGGGACTCTCTGCTCCCTGGGACATACAGCACTGATACACAAGAAGCACTGACTCACCTGGAGCCAGCCAGTACTGTTGTAACACCTGCACGCACTAATAACCTCAATAACGGTGTTAATTACATTGGTAATTTCAGCTTTAAATCACCAGTGCTGCCCACGGCAGGTGGCCACAGTCACTGACATTACACTAACAGCCGGGCCAGGGCTGGAAAACCAGGGCTCTGCGTTAACCCAGGAAGAGATTAGAATCATTTGGCTCCTCCTGAAGGGTTTGCACCCAAGCCTGCAACTGTGGAGGCTCCCATGGCCGTGAATAGCAGCTCATGTTCAGGGTTACCAGACTTGGGGCTCTTCTTATATGTGGAGCTGAGGACCTAGAAAACAGCAGAAGTTACCACCATCTCTCCACTGAGCAGCCCTTTCATGGCATGCTTCAGCTCCCTCTGACAGTTAACAAGCTCCCCTCAACCTTGCAGGGCAGAACTTTTTTTCCATGACTAGTGAAGATCCAGATATAAGGCTCAGGTATTTTTCTTCTACTGAAAAAAAAATATTATTTCTTGGCTTTTTAATTACCATGTATAATGGTAGGGTCCAGAGTAGTCCATGAGCTTTGCCCTTTAATTAGCCAGCAGAAGAAAAGCCAGGTTATTGCCTTTCACCAGGAGGAGTGTGAGCTGGGGAGATGAAAGGGCTGGATTTGAAAGAGCCTTTTCAGAAAGCTGCTGTCACAGTGTCTGCTCTTGGGGGGGGAGGATCATGGGCAGCAAATGCACTCCCTTCATCTCCCTTTGTCCTGCAGATGATGAATGAGACTGGAAAATCCCATGCATCTGTGCTTGCTGTGGTCTCCTGGGTGGAGACTCCGCATCCCTCAGTTTGTCCCCAGCTCCTCATACGCACAAGCTGAAGGTACGTATCTTTACAGAGCCAGGGCTGGCTCCAAATGCCAACCCTAGTGTTGAACTTCACTAAAAATGGTGAGGTCTGCTAGCTGTCATGAGTCATGCAATGTGTGATCCTACCAGGGCATGGACCAGGGGAGAGAAGACCTCACATGTGAGGGACAGGCCAGGTCTTTTCCCCAGGGACAGACTACCAGGTCCTGTGTGCCTGCACAACAGCCCAGCAAAGCCAGGCTGACTGCCTGGACAGAGGCTGGAGAGGGCAGGGAGGACCCTTTCCCACCACTCCGTCCTACCTCCCCCTTTCCCATCCCCATCCACCTCCGTTAGCCATCACTGCCCGGAGCCCCTGTGCACCATGCACAGCTGTTCTCCAGCCAAAGACGGCTGGGGGTGCAGGAAAGGTACCCTACTTTTTGTTTTCCTCCTCCGTCTCCTCGTCCTCTAGATCATTGCCAGCACCTGCAGCCACTGTCTGGAGCTCAGGGCCCTGGAAGCGCTCGAGGAAGGGGTCTGGCCTTTGCTGCTCCTCGTGCAAGCTCTTGCTGGCCCAGTCCCTCAGCACCAGCACCAGCTGGACTATCCTGGACAGGGGAAGAGAGGCAGAGTCAGGAACTGTCTGCGGAGCAAGGAGAAAGCAAAAGCTTGAGAGCAAGGAGGGAGGCTACAGTTGAGAAGAAAACTCTCACAGCTCACTCAAAACCAGATATTTAATTTTCCCCCTCCTTGTAGCGATGGTGTAGGACCAAGGGTATACAAACAAGAGAGCCCACCCTGTCAGAGTCCCACTGCCATTCCCACAGGGACATGAGGAATGCATGGGTGGCTGGGGCAGAGTGACACTGCCTGTGAGGGAAGGGAGCCCCCAAGCCCTCCCAGGGCCCCAGAAATGATGAAGCCATCCCCTCTCTCACCTGTCTTCATGGGCACCAGGGCAGGCAGAGCAGTATTCACAGACACTGGTCCCTACAACCCTTGAACGACACACAGCAGAAGGGGATCCTGACCCCACACAAGTCCCCAGTGTCTAAGCCAGTCACAAAAGGCTCACCCCAGGCCAGGGGCACACACAGGTACCTGGCAAAGGCTCGTCTGCCTTGGAAAGCAGAGGCAGCTGGCTGTTCCCCCTCATCCAGGGCAGCTCCTTTCTGCAGCTCTGAGGTGTCATCCTGGGTTGAGCAGGTCCTGCGGTGGGGAAAAGGGGGGGTGTGTCACAGCCACAGTGTGCCATCAGTCAGATGAACTGGAGGAAGCAGGCAGCTGAGGTTTGGTATTGCAGCCCTGCCTGCACCAGGTTTTGGCAGACCCACCAAAGTGGCCCACCCCTGCCCTGCCCCACCACTGCCTCCCTCAACCAAACCAGGGACCAGCCTGACTTTCTTGTGCTGAGCCTCGTCCCCTCCACATCACCGTCCTCCACATGGGCTTGGGCAGGTGGACAGGGGTGGCAGTTGGCTGGTGAGCACTGCAGACCATTACTCTTGGCCATCATCCTCCATGTGAGGAGACCACAGGCACACACCCTGTCCCAGAGACCTGCAAAGAGCAAAAAACAGCCATGAAGGACACATCACATCGTCTGAACACAGAGATACATCACAGCATGGGAAGAGAGGGTCAAAACCCATGGGATGCGCTCACCCCACATTTTCTACCACCAGCCATCACTGAAGCTGCCGTAAGAGTCCTACAGAGCATTTTGCCCTCCCCAAGAGATCCCACATCTGCCCATGGCCCATGAAAGGTGCTCTCCTTGTTGTTCAGGCTCCTCAGCCATTGCCAGGGCAACAGCATCCCCAGCAAGCATAACAACGAGTCCACGGCTCACTCAGCACCACTACCTGCCCAAGGACAAGAAAACAGACTTGTAAGGAGTGTAAGCTCAAGGCCAGCCCAGACGGGAAGATGCTGTCATGCAGCAGCACAGGGTAGACTTTGCATGTATAAGGGTGTTTGTACCCGAGCAACTGCCCTCCTTCCCCAGGGCACTGCAACCTGCTGGTGGTCTGCCCAGTGAGCCCCATCTCACCTCACCACAGAAATCTCCCCTGCATTGGAAACTGAGGCTTTCTATTTAAAAAGAGCCTTGATGAGGTTCCTGCTGACAGGAGCTACCATGTGGTTTCAGAGAGCAGCAGAGAAGACCCTACATTAATACATGGAGGCTGCTGAACTGTTAAGTGTGTGATTTCACCAGGTTCTATCTAAAAAGCAAGAGATGCCTACAGGGCTTGCCCAGCCCCAGCATCAGACGCAGCCCTCGCTATCCTGCTGCACCCTCGTATAGACCACACCGTGCAGAAGCACCTCACAGAAACACAGACTTGCACATGCACGGACACAAAGGCACACAGGCATTGCCCAGCCCTACCTAGACCATGTATTCCCACCCTGGCTGCCCTGCCTGCTCCCCCCGGGGCACAGTACACCCTCCGTACCCTCAGTGCACGGATGAGGCAGGTTCCTGGAGACAACGTGGTGCAGCCCACAGCCAAAGCTCGGCTTGGAGGAAGGCAATGCCTCGTACACCTCTACCAACACACACAGACTACATCCACACTGCACGCACAGGGACAGTCATGCATGCTCAGGTGAGCCACCTCCCCGGGGCAGCAGAGCTGCTGCCGAGAAGCCACCACTGTCCACTTACGAGCCTGGTGTCCCCCGAAGCCTTCGACACCCGGCTGCTGCCTAACGTGGGCTAGCAGGGGTGGCTGGGGAGCATCCCTCCCCCAGGAGCCTTCCGGGCTGTCTCCAGAGCGCTCAGGCTTTTGAAACGTGTGTTGAGCTGCAAAGCAAAGCCAGCGCGAGCGAAGCTGCCTGCACTCCTGCCCTTCTCCCCTGCCCAAGCAGAGGAGCAGGTGAGGCAGCCGGGCAGCACCCTGGCAGTGGCAGAGGGGCCTCTGCGGTGCGCGGGGAGGGTGCACGCACACGCATGGGTGTGGATCTTGTCACTCTAGCACGCCCATCCCCTGAGCATCCTCCATGTCCTGAGCAGCAAAGCGCACTTCAGAGGAGTTAATAACAGACAGCTTTGTGTCTGGGGGATGAAAGGAGAGGAGGGAAATGTGCTGCTCAGGGTTGCTCCATTTTCCTACTCACGCGTTCCCTTCCCCCTGTCACCTCCCCAGTGGTGGTCCTGAGCAGCTCTGGGTCCAGCAGCTCCTGAGTCCCCTGCAAACCCTGGGGAAGGGTCACTGCCCACCCAGGGACAGGCAGAGCCAGCAGACCCCAGCTGGGCTTAGGTCCTGCTGCATGAGGGCATGTGCTGGGATTGCACCCTGGGCCACCTGCTTCTGCTCCCCTCCCAGCCCTCTGCCCTAGGGAAAAACAAAGCTGGTGACTATTTCCCTGATTCATAGGCTGTGCCACAGCTACTGCTATGATCGAAAATTTGCAGAAGTAGCCACATTTTAACACCCTCCCATCCAGTTACCTCTTCTCATGCTTAGGAAGCAGAATGCCAAATGTACTGCTGCGGAGTTCCAGTGAAGAGAGCTGCAGAGTTTGAAGATGATCATGAAGTGCAACTTTCACCAATTTCTGCCCTTGTATTTTGTTCACAAAGCCATTCTAATAACCAGCTAACAAAAAACTTGCATCCCCAAGGCAAAGAGGAAGAGCCTAATTTTTACCACATTCCTCCAGCATCTAGACACTTGCAGTGGCTGAGTCTGGATCAGTCACTGCCGTGCACATGGAGTCCTGCACTGTGTGCAGGGCTGATCTGAAAACACCATCACTTGAAGTCCCTTTGCTATCAAAGGTTTACCTTTTTTTTTTACTTCAAAGCCTTAAATTCCACTTGTTCTGATCTCATTGAAAACCTGGACAGCAGGGAGTCTGAAGGAAGAAGTGAAATTTTTGCAGCCTTGGCCAGGGCTGCTGGTGGCATTGGGTGCTTACCTAGGAAGCACCCACCAGCAAGGGATGTGTCACCCTGCTCTTGACCCCATGCCACAGACCCCGGCACAGATCACAAACCAGCAGCACCGGCAGCAGCACATGTTCCCCTTTCACCTCTCCTTTTGCTCCCTGCCTGCAGCTGCCTTCAAAAGCAACATGGGAACCCCAGGAGCTGCTCCCTCACAGCTTCCTCAGGCACTGAATTGCACAAGACACTATTTTCCATGCACATCATTGTGGTGGTGACCTTAGGAGATACCCAGCCCTGCCACATGTGCTGCCCTGGGACAAAGAAAAGCCAGGAAGAGGTGGCAGGGAAGAGAGAAAGGAAATAAATAAAAGCATCACACCCCAACAGGGATGACATTAACCAGGAACTCTCCTCCTCCAGTTCCCCCCTGGCCAGGGCAGCTGGCATGCCTGTTTTACATCAGTGGGCCAAATGGCCTCCTGGAGCTCTAAAGAGGTCAGAAATCCAGCATCAAATTAAATAAGCATGTGTGGCTGAGACATCCAGCACTGGGTCAGAGTCCTGCTGCCAAGGAAATAAACCTTACCTGTTCTCATCCACTGGGATATCGGGATCAGACTCCACATTTGGCAGAAGAAACATGTCCAGAACACACAAAGTTTATTAAAATAGGCATTTTATGGGTCAGTGTTTCCAGATTTACAGCAGGATTTATGCCTTAATTAAGTCATATTGTATCACCTACAACCTGCCAATAATTAGCCTTTGAGAACACATACAGTTTGATCACCTCTCCTCCAAACACCTTCAATCCACACCTTGAAGGTGGTGTCTCCCCCAGAAGGTCAGCCCTTCTCACTCTAAATACAGCTTTAAAAAAAAAAATTAAAAACCACATACTTCCTCCAAAACACGTTTGCACTTCTCAGAGAAGAGAAACCAGACCTGTTATGCAAGGTCCCCTGGTAACCCTGACCGCATCCCTAAGCCACAAGCCACAGACACCACCCCTGCATTAGTGCTCCCATCCCTTACGTACACCCTGCCACAGCACGGCACGCCAAGCCCACCACAGCATCCTGGCTCTCATCTGCAATAAATCTCAGTGCTATCCTCAGCTCAGCTATCAGCCACAGGCTCAGACCTGCAATTACTTGTGGGACAGTTATTTATTAGTCAGTGTCCAGCTGCCAGATTTACAGTCACAGATGCCTGATGTGGTTGCAGGCAGAAAACACCCAGGCATCCATGTCTGTAAATAAGCTTTGGGACATCTGGATGACCCGCAGATCCAGCTACCATTACTTGTAAGTGGAACAGAGGGGTCCTCTTAAGCCATGCCAAAACCTATCCCCGGAGCCTGCAAGCACAACTCCAGCAGATGTGCTGGATGAACCACCAAAAGTGTCTCAAAGTCACCTCAGATCCAAGTGTTACTAAACTCCACAGGAGGAATGAAATGGCCGAGCTGTTGAACTGGGCTTGTTTTTAGCTAAAGAGCATCTGGTCCAAGAATTCCCCTCACCTGTGTTCTTGCACCATAGCTGAAGTTACAGCTTGGCAGCAGACCTGGGAACAATCCTGCCCTCTGGCACTGGCAACCTAACAAATATATACTGCTGCCCAAATGAGCAATTTTCCATGGCTTGTTTAGTGCTATCACAGTTGGTACAAGGTCTTATAATCCAGAGTCACCATGAGGAGTTTTCCCATTTAAATCTCTCTGGGAAATAGCCAAGCTCCTGGATAAGACCAGACCTCAGCAACACTCTTACAGTCACTTTGGATCTGAATATTTGCAAACCTGCTGCTGAACTGCCTCGAGCAGGATGGGAGCCGAGGAGATGGTGGCACAGCAGTGACTGCAGGGGTGGGAGCCCCACGCTCTCAGAGCAGGGGCTGTGGCATGGGAGAACTGGCAGTACTACCTTCACCAAAAAGCAGCTGCACAAGGAAGAAAAGAAAACTCACCAGCAGTTTAAAAACACTCAACCACTCTACACAAGCTTTTGGGGTGGAAGATGAGGAACACACCGCAGCATTTGGCTGAGGACTTTTATGGGGTCAGAACTGAATTATCCACGCTGGAACGTGGTCAGTGGACTGGGCCCATCACAGTTTAAGGCTGTGACAGGACCTCATGTCTGCAAACACCAAACACCTTGGGTTTTCCTCTCCTCTGGTAGACAGTTCAAGTGCCAGAGGGTCTCCCATTGCTTTGTACAGGACAGACACCTCCTGTATTAGCCACTAATTTCTTATGAGACCTGGGCTCTTCTCAGCAGCTTCCCACACAAGCACTGACCCCAACAAACATACAAGGTGGCTGCTAGTGTACACAGAGCATTTGCAGCAACAGCCCAGCCCTGGGACTACACCTGCTGGGCCATACTCCTTGTACCCCACCTCTCCCTAACACCCATCTCCAGCTGCTGTGGCACAAGGTCCAGCTTCATCATTTCCCTCACCCACCCCTGATGCTAGAGCATGGGAGAGAGATGGCACCCTCATTGTAATTGGGACCTAAAGGACACAGATCCTCAAAGACCTACAGTGCAAAAAGCAGGTCAAGTTAAGAAGAAACACGCGGTTTTACTGTTTGCAAGTACGCAAGCAAGGATCCTCTCCCTGCCCTCATCCACCCTGCCAGGGTTGGGCAGGGGAGGTCAGGGCACAGGAAATCATCTTCTCAGCCAGAGCCATGTGTTGATGAGGCAGGCGGAGATCAGTACAGAGTAGACCAGGGCCTCCTTCCGCCGCCACGCGTTGCACTGCTCCTCCAGCACGCAAAGCCTCCCCGAGATCCTCGTCAACTGCAAGAGAAACAGTGGGGCCACTGTCAGCCCTGCAGCAAAGTTCAGGGCACTGGCTACACCCCAGAGCCATGGGACAGCAGGGGATGGAGGGATGGGATCTGCCATCTCCTTCAGGTCTTCCTTTTTTAGAGCAGCATAGTATCATAGAATGGTTTGCGTTGGAAGGGACCGTAAAGATCATCTAGCTCCAATCCCCCTGCTGCAGGCAGGGACACCTTCCACTAGACCAGGTTGCTCAAAGCCCCATCCAACCTGGCCTCAAATCCTTCCAGGGAGGGGGCAGCCACAGCTTCTCTGGACAACTTGTTCCAGTGTCTCATCACCCTCACAGCGAAGAATTTCTTCCTAATATCTGACTTAAATGTACCCTCTTTCAGTTTTAAACCATTACCCCTCATCCTATCCCTACACCCCCTGATAAAGAGTCCCTTCCCCGTCTTTCCTGTATCCCCCTTTAAGTACTGGAAGGCTGCTACAAGGTTTCCCCAGAGCCTTCTCTTCTCCAGGCTGAACAACCCCAACTCTCAGCCTGTCCTCATGAGGGAGGTGCTCCAGCCCCCAGCAGCTATCTTTGTGTGGGAGAATTAGCAGCAGTACCTCAGCTCCTGAGCAGATGCTTCTGGAAAAGATCCTTCCCATCAGAAGAGCATCTGAGCCCCTCACTGCCAGCAGATGGAGGGGTCTGGCTGTAGCCCTACACCCCCCTCAGAGTAGGAGCTTTATGGGTCAACACACAGGTAAGTCCTCCCCTGCTTCTCCATTAGCAGCATCAGCCAGGACTAGCTTGGCAATGTCAGCTCATCAGGACTGAGCAACAGATCCCTGGAGCCTCCTCACCACCCCTCCTCTGGCTTTCCTAGGAAACATTTGCAGCCCTTCACCCCCATCTCACCTGCTTTCTCATTGCTGCCATCTCAGCCACTCCAACCTCCTCCAAGGTGCTCTCTGGAGCTGGGCCAGCCTCCTGGGAGCTGGGGAAGAAAAACAGAGATGCAGACAAACACACACTGCTTGAGAGGTGCAATTGCCTTCCCATACACACAGCACTGCCACAGGGAGCCGAGCCATGCAGGTAGCATGTGTGTGCCAGGGATGTGCTGCCCGGGTGCAGCATCAGGAGGGAGCAAACAGCACCTGCACAGCACCTACACACCTCTTTGTAACCCCCATCATGCATATTTATACCCCTCCACCTTGTACCCCACAGTGATCACAACAAAACATACAGCACATGCCATGACAGACAACAGAGAAAACACATGCTTGTATTTCTTTAGAGGTCCAAGAGAGAGAAAACATATTTACCGAGCATCCATTCTCTATAGTCAGAGGAATTCACTGAGGGTTGGATAAATCATCTTTAGAGCCAGTCAGGTAAATACGTATCACAGGGCCAATGCCGAAATGGAAGGATGATTTCATTTACATCAGCAGGTGAGGATCCCGCTGGTGGGAAGCGGCCATCAGCTGGGGGCAACTATCTGAGCAAGTGCAGCAGCCAGCAGAAAAGGGTCCTGTTGTTTGCTGAGACAAGGATTTGTTCCTCTCCTGTAACTCCAGATGCCACAAGCTCACTTTCCCCACCCCTCCCCCCAACAAGAAAAGTATCCCTTTTTGCTCTGATAGAAGATTTTACCTGCAACTTGAAACACAAACAAGCAACCCAAGCACGCACCATTTTCTTCCATCCCTGGAAACAAGGGGGCCTCCACTGGGATTAGCTGCTGCACTGGCAGAGGCAACACAGACCATGGATCTCCAGGGCATCCCCTGGAGGCACAGCCTTGCTGCAGGGCCCACAGCAGCAAGCCACAAAATAAAGTAGATCTACAGTGAGAAACAAACAAAATTTCCATGTTCTGTATGTTATTCCTATCATCATAGGCTAGCCCTACATCAGTTCTTCTATAACTAAAACTCCCCTATGCACACCAGTAATTCACATGGGCACCCACTGATACTGTACAAGTTAATGAGTGTCTAACACCACTCCTTCAGAGACCTTGGGGAGTAGACAGTATTTATTCCTGTTTGCAACATGATATTGATCTATCTCGCTGAAGACAAACCAGAGCAGCACGTGGAGATTCAGTGAATCTCTGTCTGAAAACACATTTGTGAGATAACACCTCCATGTAATGTAGCTGCACTGTAAAATGAAAATCACAACAGAAATAAAATCCAATTTCCCCCAGAACAGAGCCATTAAAAAAGGACACATCCTGCAGCTTTTGACTGAAAAATCCCAGTTGATACAAGTGAACACCCTTTAGAGTAAAGACTAGAAATCACCTTCCAATAACTCATACTCTTCAAGAGGTCACTGTCAGGCAAATCAGTCTCTGTCTGAGACCAGACTTTTCTTTACTAAAATTTCAGGACAAACAAGTCAGCTCAGTCATTTTTTTACTTTTAGGTGTGCAAAGTTGTCATATCAAAGAGATACCGTATGCATCTGAAGTGATGCAAAGTACCAAGAAGAGATGTTTCAAGGTGGCTGGCTTCAAAGGGAGATCACGATCTGGGGAGAGGCCCGGGACTCACCTCACTGCATTACAGCATCTCCACAAGCTACCATCTCTCATGTACCATGGCCTAAACCTCCTCTACTGCTGATGGGAGGAGGGAGAAGGTCTTACGTAGCCACTAACCAGATCTGTTGGCATGCCCAGACTTCATTAAAAAAAAAAAAAAAAAAAAAAAGTGACATTTGAAGACAGTCAGCCTCCTGTGGTTAGAAGCAGGGACATCACTTTGCATCATCCGCAGGCAGAAGCCAGCTCTGCTGCCTGCACCTCCGCACCAGCTGGGGAGGGAAGGCAAGATGTGCCACCGATGGCATGGATGATGGATGCTCACTCTCCTCCCTTTCTGCCTGGAGGCTTTGCTCAAGGAGAATTAGAAGTATTCAGACATTCCTCCAGGTGCTCAGCAGCCTTAGAGCAGTGGGGACACCTTAAGGCTGCAGTGATGTCTTTGAACATGTTAAATTTACTACACTTGCACAGATAAGAGTGTAGTGAAGATAGATGCGCCAGCACATCTGGGGAGATTGAGGTCATTGGATACCTGCTCCAGTGAGCATGCAAGAATACTGCACCCTGGCCAGAGGCATCGGCTATGGGATGAGTAACTTGGTGCAGCCAGTTCATAGAAAAGGTTATTCATGAGTGACCAAGATACAGCCAAGGGTGCCGAGAGCCTGCAGGAGAGGGTGTCTCAGGGATGGAACCTGGGTCAAGCCATCTATTCTGGATTTTGATTCCCTTCATGCATTTCTCTCCATCAAGCTACCAAGGCATGCATAAAAATTAGTACTTGCTTAGCAGTGAAGAGCAGCTGAAATCCCAGCAATGTCACAGACAGCGTTTGATCACTCAGGGTGCCCGGGAGACCAGTGTTAAGCCAAGCAGGAGACACAAGCTGGGCTAGGTTAGCAGGGTGCACCCAGGGGGGCTGCACCAGGCACTCCTGGGCCAGGCACCCAGAGCTGGCAGGCAGGACAAGTGAGAAGGAGAGGCTGGGGCAGCCATGCAGGACCATCCTGCTCCTGCGCTGTGCAGCCTGTGGTTTACAGAGCTCATGCCCAGCTCATGCCTTAGCAAGGCAAAGGCAAGTCCTTGCAGAATGACAGGGAGGTGGCTCAAGACGAGCCAAAGTCACCTGGATGGCAGTGGGTCTTGCAGAGAGCCCTGGACACGGTGGAAGAGTACCTGGCCCAGGAGGTACATGGTCTGGAAGATGTTCTGCATGGAGTAGATCCTGCCCGTCTCCGTGAGGAGGGGGAGTGGGGCACTGCGCGCGGGCGGGGGGCACGCATCTGGCCTGGGGTGCACACAGAATCACGCCTGTTATTTCTTGGACTCGTACAGCATGGACCCAGCCTGGCATTTGGTGGTGCCCTTCATCGCTTCAGCAGCTCCAAGCATCTCTGGGCAATGTCATCAGCACACAGACACCCACATCATCAGGTGGGAGAAGCCCCTCCAGCAGCCCCAAAGCTCTGAGGCAGTCACCCGACTCCTCTGAAGCTAACCATGGCTGTGCAATAACCAGACCTTCATCAGCTGCTCTTACAGGAGTTGCAGAAAACAGCTCTCCTGCCACCCAGGACAACCCTGAGCTTCTAAGAGGAAAGGGGGCTCTGCTCTAGGGTTAAGTTAGAGACAGTTTCTCCACTCGAGATACTCTGGAGCCCAAGGTCATGAGCAGAGGATCACTATCACCATGCTACTGCTCACAGGCGATGCTCAAAGAGCTGAAAAGCAAGTGTGCTCTTAGCCCACCCTGTCTGCAAGGCACCGCAAGTTTCAACAGCGCCTGTAGAAACCTGGTTAAGCCCTGGTGCCTCGCTGCCAGTGGTCACCTGCCCACAGTCCCCAGCACTCTACCACGCTGGTGGAGAGCACATTGCAGAGCACCAAGAGGAAGATGGACAGAGCCAGAGAGACTAGGACAAGCCAGGATGGGCTGTAAGGTCCTCTTGGCCCAGCAGCCAGGCAAGGACCAACAGCAGTCCCACCAGCCTGATGCAAGAGGGGACATGCTCTCCCATGTGCATCTTAGCAGAGTTCGTCACCTTGGGGACCAACACAGCTGCCTTCAACACTGCCTGGCACAAACCTCTCTGAGACCAGATGCCATGTTCCTCTTGTGCAAGCGTAGGCCTTGCCAGGAACTGCCTTGACCCAGTCTGGATACCCCCCACACCTCGGGGCAGCGACACCAGAGAGCATCAAAGCAGCACAGACGGCAGAAGATGCTGATCCCCACACACCCCAGACAGCTCTGGGTTCGTGCTCACCGCTCCTGGTGCTGGCCTGGGCTGTGCAGGACCGGCTGGGCACAGTCACTTGGAGTCCTCTCCCGCCGTGATCTGCTACCGTGATGGCCCTGTTGGCATCAAACACAACCGCGTTAGCACAGAGACCCTGCACAGGGCGAGCACAGCCCAGTGCCCTGCGTGGTCTGCAGTGCCAGGAGCCCATCAGCATGGGGAAAGCATTCAGTGGTGGGAGCGTCATGAGGCCCAAACCTGGTGATCTGATGCTGGAGAGGGTGGGGAGACATGCTCAGAGCAGGGTGAGGGTCACCAGCAAGGAGCCTGCTGATCTGATCTCTATTTGGGTCAAAAATCCTGAACCTAACGCATTTGGGAACAGCTCTTGAATCTCAAGGAGGTGAAAACACTTGAGAAGGCAGATCAGCAGCTCCAGCAGCCAAACTAAGCCTTTGCCTGCCCACGTCAGGGCCTCTCTGAATTAGTTTCACACAAAGTTAAAATCTGCTCTCAGCTCTGACACCAGAACCCTTTATGCTGCAACGATGAAACAGCTCCATCTCGTACTTCATCCAAGAGAAACAGTGGCTGAAAATGGACTTCAAAAGTAGCAGAAGGAGGTTGTGGGGGGACTGCACCTATCTCAGCCTATCTCCTGCTCACAAAATGCAGTAGGAGATCTGGCTGAATCGATGTTCCAGCACACAGGTACGTACTGGTTATGGGACAGACAGAGATCCCACCGCCCCTACACGCTCACTCCTAGGACTTCCAGGACCTCCTAGGAGGAGGCAGCACTCTGGAAGATGAATTCTGGCTTGGGCTGATAACAGACCTCTGGAGAAAACCAGCACTGGGATTGTTCCCCCCTCCCACCACAGGCAAGCCTGTCCGCTCTCAACATAGTACCGATCGCTTGCGTTTCTGGGAGCTTGATCTGCTGGCTACGTGCAGAAAAGGGAGCTCCCCGAGGTGGGCAGGCTGTGCAGAGCAGTCTGGGGACATGTGCTCCATGACAGAGGGGACCTTCCTTTGCTGGTTCAACAGGATGGGCCTCAGACTGGCATCTGATATTTCTGCAGAGAGGAGAGAGGGAAGAATTAAACCAACCTGCATGCCCTCAAGACAGGAGAGAAGAGAGATCCACCCATGTAGGAGAGCCAACCCTGTGTCTAGTACCAGACATACATCAAACACCATGTCCCACAGGCATGAGAGGCAGGACAGCCCGCAGGGGCATGGACTGGAAAGCAACCGGACACACCGCTCCAGGAAAATGAGGTTTCAGAACTGTTTTTCAAAGAGACAGAGCCATATGTCTCTGCATCCCAAAGCAGGGAGCCTACCAAAGGCCAAGCGGTACCTGTAAGAGATGTGGAAGGAGATGCCTCCACATTTTGCTCCTTACCTTTTGGAACTAAGACCCCCTCCTGCCTTCTGTTGGTCACCTTTGTCCACCTCTCCCCAAGCAGCTCTTCACCATCCTGTCCTACCTTCCAGAAGAAAGCTGACTACAATATCTGCCCCTGCCCTCTCCTCTTGCAAAGTAAACCACCGAGGATTTTATAAAGGGGTCCTATTCCCTAGGATGTTGTAGAGTCCCAACAACCTTCAGCCACCCCAAAAGACAACCCAGGACATTACCTGCAAGAGAAATCCTATCAGGGATGTGCATCCGAAAGGAAGGAGGGATGTCCTCTGTCACTGTCTCCTCATCCACAGGACTGAAGCTATCTGCTACCTTCAGCCTGTTGGGAACCTGCATCCTTTGATTGATGGATTCTGTGAAGAGCAGGTCACAGCGGACTCGGTTCAGGTCCAGTCCCCAAAACGGCCACATCTTTTCTGATTTCCTCTGATTGTTTGACCACCCTGGGGTTTCACACAGAGGAAAAGAAAGATGAGCAAAAGTAGTAGCAAGCAGCTCTTCCAAACTGGCACCTTCACAGGGACAACACACATGCTATAAGAGAACTAAAATATATGCAGAAACAACCCAAAGGACAAGGCACCGTCAAAGTTGTCCTGAAGAACAGGGTGTCCCACAAAGCCCAGCTGGCAGGGGCAAAGGTGCAGGGCCACTGCAGGTGGGAACTCCTGTCTGGCAGGGTGAGAAAGGAGAAAACTCCTACGTGTCCTGGGAGCAAAGCATGAGCTCAGCACCTATTGCTTCAGTTAATAGTAAGGAAAGGGCAATAGTTCAGCACACCCGTGGGAGAAGAGCAGTTCAGTATACCCTAAAAAATGGTGAAAAAAAAAAATATTATTTTCCATCCAAAAGTAAAGTTTTTTGGAGGGCTTGGAGCACATTTTTGTATTCATACACCTTCAGGGGAAAATGAAGTTTTCTAAAAACAAAACACGTTTTGTGATAAGATTCCAGGTTACCGCAGGAAAAACTGAGCACTAGACTTTCTCTGCACACAACCCCCATTCCCCACCCGATCCAGCACCCATCTCCTCGAGTGACCCACACCACACTGAACAAGATGGACTTTTCCCTGAGCAGAGCTGCCAGATGCTGAACCATCCTCCCCGAGGGGAAGGAAAAGCACAAGTGAGCTCCCCCAGGCCAGCACCAGCTCAGCTCTCTTCTAGGGGGGAACCAGCACTGAGGAGGGACAAAGTCTCCAGCTCTCATTGCTCCTGGGGCAGCCAACAGCAGGAGCAGAACATAGAATATGGATGATTATCTGGGGGTCTGCAGCTGCTCAGGACGCAGAAGTGCCCTGTGCCTCAGTTTCCCCTTTGCCAAGTCCCAGAGCTTTGAGAAGTGCTCTGGGGCCACAATGTCCCAACACTTTCACTGAGTGCTGCGAACAGAGGGCAATCAATGTACATTTTTAGGATAGAAGACCCAGAAAACACTTTCCTGTCTCCCAGGATGTGTGCTCTATTCTTTCTCGAAAAGCTACAGTCGAGGACAAAACCCCAGCAAGCGAGAGCTGCCAAGGCTGGCACACCCCAGCCAGACCCCAGTGCTGCCCCTGCATCCCAGACGTGCCACATGCACGCACAGCCCCCCCTGCACCCTCCCTGCTGCCGCCTGTTAAGCTCACCATGCCCAAACAGGTCCCCTTTTGCTTCCAGGTCAAAATTTCCACCCTAAGAGGGGACACCTGCTCCAGCACAGCACAAGCAGCCAGAGGAAGGAGAGCTTTTCCTCTTCAAAGCTCAAGAGGGGGAAACGGGAAGAGGCAAGCGAGCGGGAGCATGCAGGGGCCCTGCCTTCTTTGATCATGTCTGGGGACTATATTTAGCAGCTGGGTGTCTGACGCTGCATTTCCAGCCCACCAGCCAGGGCTGCCCACCGCCACCCTCGCTGCTGCTTTCCGGGGCACTTTGGGCCCTCTCGCCTGCCCCAGTCCCCCTGTCACCCCCCCAGGATATCAGGCAGGGGAGAGGAGCAGCCCCACTTCCCAAAGTCCCACGGGAGACACGGCCCCTGAGCCACAGATCCCCTTCCCTGCAGCAGCTGGGCCCTGGAACTCTGGGTACACGAGGGCGGCAGAACTTGCAGAACTGGTCGGCAAAGACCAGCACTTCCAGTGATCACCCGCCTCATGCTGCTCTCTACTCCTCTGTCATCAAAAACCTTTTAATTAAAGAGACAGAAATTTGCCCAGCATCAGCTGTGGCAATTTGCTGCTTCCAGACACGCAGAGATGAGATATCTGTCTCTGCAACCCGGTCTGTCCCAGAGGTGCTGCCGGCGATGCGGTGTCCAGGGGCACAGCAGCCCCCAGCTGCCCCACACCTTATCCACCACCCTGCCCAGCCCCAACACCGGCATGGGTGACACCAACCCAGGGATGTCACAACACACACGCACCCTGCTTCTCCTCAAAACCTCAAAGAAAGTGGATTTTTGCAGGAAGCCCCTACTCGGGAGTGGGATAAGTCCTGGGACAGTCCCAAAGCGGTGTCAGTCCCACAGGAGAAACCAGCATTGGAGACCCAGCCCCATGGTCCACAAGCACAGAGACAACCTTCACATTTTTGGTGCTTTAGGGAAGCGAACACCTTGTGTTGCTTTCTCAGCCTGATCTCTGGGAAAACAGCATATATTAATACCAATAAATCTGGAGAGGGCAGATTGGTTCATTTTCTAAATCATCTATGAAACTGGTGCTGCTCCCAAAGAGCAGAGGGATGGGAGGGGAGCAAGAAGCAGGCTCTGAGAGACTAAGCTGTTAAGAAAAGAAGAAAAAGAATCAGCTGTCAAAACCCATAAGAACAAAATGCTTACATGGCTGATTTCCTCCTTTAACTTTCTTTAGGGCTTTTTCTAGCTATTGCCAAGCAACCCCCCTTCCCCTCGCCAGCAGAAGACGACTGCTTCCCAGTCCCCGCTTTGGCACGTCTCCTTGCATTTGCAGTGATGGGGAATTTCCGTCTCACTGAGCCTGAAGTTTAAATCCTGCATGCCGGGAAAACCTGCCCTGGGGAGGGAAACCCCCCAACCTCCCTCTCTCCGTCCCTCCCCAGCCCAACATGCTCCCTACAAGGCAGGCGGGGGTACCAGCCTGGTCCCGCACCCCCCCTTCACCTCTCAGGATGGGGTGCTGGAGTGAGCAGCCCTCTGCTAGAGGCGCTGCCCTGCGGCGTGGGGCTGTGCCGTGGGGCTGTGCCGTGGGGCTGTGCCGTGGGGCTGTGCCGTGGCCGGGCAGAGAGGGGGCTGACAGGGAGGGGAACGGGGTTTGTCACCCAGCCCGGGTCCTGCCACCTCCCACGGCCAAGACGCAGAGCGCAGCCGGCCACGCAGAGCCGGGGTGACCCCTCTGCCCCCCCCCCCCCCCCCCGCGTCCTCGGGCCTCAGCTTCAGTGTGCGCTGAGGAGCAAAGGGCTCGGGGGGGTTCCCAGGCACAGCGCCCCGGCTTTGAACAGCTCGGGGGGGGGGGGGGGGGGGGGGGGCGCTGAGAAAGGCCACCGAACATGCGTGAGAGGAGCCGGCCACCCGCGGAGTGGGAGGCGGGCCGGGAGCGGGGCTGGGGGGCGGCTCCAGGGCACGGAGGGCTCCCCTGCTCTCCCAGGACAGGGATCCCCGATCCCCCCCCCCCCCCCAGGGACGCCCCAGCACCTCCCGCTGTCGGACGCGCTCCCCCGCAGCGTCCCGTCCCCGGCACCCACCGGCTTCGCGGCTTGCAAAGGAGGTGGGGGAATGGGAGTGTTGGCGGGGGGGAAGGGGGGGGAAACTTACTTTTTTTTTTTTTTTTTTTGCAGACCAAGGCAACTTGGACCTCTGAACAGCCGCGCCCGCTGCCAGCCGGGGCGGGGCGGGGCGGGGCGGGGGGCGGCCGGAACAGCTCGCCAGTCCCTTCCCCTCCCCTTCTTTCCCTTCCCTTCCCCTCCCCTTCTTTCCCTTCCCTTCCCCTCCCGCAGCCCGCCCACCGCGCTTAAAGCCGCAGCCGGCCACAGCACCGATCACGAACGTAGGAAATTTGCGGGATTGTTCTCGCCTGGGGCAAAACCGGGCGACAGCAGCAAATCCCGGGTCTCCACCCGGTTCCCCCGTCCCCCCAGGCACACGCAGCCCGGGGATGTTTGCAGGCAAACCAACCCACGTTTCACGGGGAGGGCTCCGCCCGCCTCCTCTCGGCACCCCAGCGCTGCTGACCGTGGCAGCCCCAGCACGTTCCCACGCCACCGTGGGAAATCACGCAGGACGGGGACGGCAGCCATCCCAGTGCCAGGCTTTGCCCGGGATAATCTCTCCTGCCCCTCGGTGGAGTCCACAGCGACAAAATGATCCGGTTTGGATAAACGACAGTTTTAAACACTTCTGAATGGGGACAGAGTCCAAGACCTGACCATAAAATCTGGTTTTGAAAGGGCTTAAAATAAATCCCACGCTGCCCTAGTCTTGCTATTTAAGGGGATTATCTAAGAGGTTTAGGAGCACACGGAGGAACAACAAGACAACTTGTGCACCTAAAGATCCTCAAAGACCTTAGGAAATCCCTCCGCACTTCACCTACCAGCTGGTCCGGGCTCACAGGACACCCTCCAGCTCTCCCCGAGAGTTGCACCATGTGCCCAGCAAAGTCGAAGACTCCTGTCAGATGTGTGAGCTTGTTCCCAGCCCCATGGCAGCATGAACCCCATATCCAGAGCTGGTCCCTTCTTCAACGGGGACTGTGCTGAAGCTGGGCCCAGGGGGAGTATTGGTGCCATCGCCCCACAGCTGCCTCCATCACCCCACAGAGCTGAGCCCCAGCACCCCCACAAAATGGAAATCCAGCTGTGCCCAGTGAGACACCCCTCCTGTGGGAAAAAGCCACCCTGTGCCACTCAGACAGTGAGGGTTTTTTAATAAATACCTTTTTTTTTTTTTGCACAGAAATATACCAAGTTTTACAGAATACAAACTGCAGGGATATTGACCGAGCATCAAAGACAGAGGATGCAGAGCACCCTTCTATCTCCCTCCAGTCTTTTCCAGGTTCTGACCCTGATGCTCACTGTCAGGTCTTCCCATAAGCCCAATTTGATAAGGCCTGGGAGGGGACAGACAAGGTGCCAGCAGCCGCAAACCCCCCCGTGTCCTGCCCCAGGAACGGCCACACTGGGCAAGCCTCAGCTCTGGGCTGAGGGAACCTGCTGTGAGAGCATCCCTGGGATGGAGCGGGGTGCAGCAGCCGATGGATGCACAATAGCCTTTCAGTGCTGGTGGAGAGACTGGTGCTGGGGTGAACACCGAGAGGCGGCAGTGCTGGGAGTTTGTGGGCTACTCCTGGGGGGTTGGTGAGCGCAACCCTCTTTTTAACCCATCAGACATGACTGGGAAAGGACAGCCCCACTGCTTGGACCCCAAAAGCAGCTGCCCAGGAAAAGGGGACGCTCTGGTCCCACAGCAAAGCACCTGGCTCTGCCCGGCACTGGCACCACAGTCATCAGGGTTCGGTCCTACAACCGACCCACTGGCATCGCCAGGTCGTGGCATGGCCAGTCAGCTCTCACCTCTGTGGCCACCTCTGTCAGCAGGCCCTCCACATCACGGCCATGGCCACCAAGCATTCTGCCCACCAGAGGGGCCTGGAGGAGAGTGGGGTCTCGCATTCCCCTTTATCTGATCTGGAGGACAAAGAGTCTCAAAGAGAGAAGCCAGGCAGAACTGAGAGGTTTGGGGTAGAGACAGGGGAGGTTTGGCCCATCTGCAGGCTCCCTGTGCCAGCATCCCACCTGTGGGGCAGACACCAGACAGGCCACGCGCCAGGAAAAAGGAGCATCCTCACTGCTTAAAACCGTGGGATCACCTTTGGCTCAAGGTCAGAGATGAGCCCACCAGCCAGCTCAGCTGCAGCCAGACCTCCAGCTGCCCAGCACCCTGCAAGGGGAAAGTGGAGAGCATCGTGAAAAGGACCTGCTATTCCAAAGTCACTTACCTCATATACAAGACCACCACAAGCCTTTCCCTCTTTCCAAAGGGATCTAGGAGATCAGAGAGCACCTCCTTGACTGCTCCTCCCTGATCTCCTGACAGTGAATATCGCTACAGGCACCGCAGGATGGACTGGGCTCCCCACTCCCACCTGGCAGCAAATCCACACAAGGGATGCACTTTCTCCCCAAACATAGAGTGTGGACACCGACCGTGGGGGTGGACAGAACTTTGACACACCCCTCCTGCATCCCCAACTCCTAATCAGAGCCCTGAGCAGCAAAACGGGGCCCGGTGAGCACATGGGGTAAGGCTGAGCAGCACCCCAGGGAGGCAGCAAGGCTGTTTTAAACATGGGAAATGTTATGTCTGTTTGAGGGGGAAGTGAGGAAATTGAATGCACCATGGGGAGACCCCCGTGATGAGCCAGGAACAAGCTGCCGCTCTGCTCCGGCTGCTACAGCACTTACGTGAGCAGGGAGTGAGGGGCAGGAGACGGCTGGCTGACTCCAGAGCCACTCCTGCAGCCCAGCCTCACCCCACTTGGGGACAGCTATTTTTGGTTAGGAGGGTAAGGCTATTGTGTGATGGCACCAGCTTGTACAGGTGAGACGGGGTGCCACCTGGCACCTGAAGGGGGTCCCGGGCACGGAGAAGGGAGGGTGGGTGGGTGAGCGTGAGTGTGTGAGGAGGCAGGAGGGAGGCAGACCTGCTATTTGCCCACAACAGGGGCAGTGGCCACAATCTCTTCGTACTTGGGTGGCGGATCATTGTAGGAGACACTAGTCTCTTCGCCACTGCTGCTCTCCGGGTGGCCCGTCACTTCCTCGTAGGAAGGTGGAGGGGTGGCACTGGACAGTCTGGAGAGGACAGAGACCGAATGCTCTGGCGGGTAGAGGGTGCCATCTTGCTGGGGGGTGCCCCCAGCTCTGCCATCTCCAGCCACCCGGTTGCTTGCTTCTCGCTGATACTGGGTTTCCCCTTGGCTTTGCGACCGCTCCCGGTACACCATGACCCTGGGGAGGCTGCGTCCCGTTCGGCTGGCCAGGTAACGGTTCTGGGCATAGGAAGGGCGGTGGCGGGTGGCCTTTTGGAGCTGGCACCTCCAGATGATGAAGAGGGCGATGACGATCAGAAGAGCCACTCCCAAGAGGGGCACCACCACGTACATAGCATCTGAGCGCTCCGTGCTGTGCCCGGGGTCCTTGACAGAGTAGACAGAGTTGGTGTAGCTCTTCCAAAACTCCATCTGTGGCAGGAACAGAGAAGCAACCATCACATGCTGCAGGTAAGACAAACACCCCCTGAGCACCACCAGCAACACTCACTGCCCTCCCTAGACCTACAAAAGAGGCCATTTTTTGGCCGTCCCCACCACTCTCATCAGGGCTGCCAGCATCTGAGGTGCTGTGGGAACCAACACAAAAGATCACAGGAACATCCCTCAACAGCCGCTAACAGCCCGCACACCAAGCAGGGAGAAATTTGGCTAACACCAACCCCAGCCTGGAGAGTCGGGGACAACAGCACAGATTTCCCACACACGCTGTGGGAGTGCCAGCTCGACCTGCAGCTGTGGGCAGGGTGTCATGGCAATATCAAGGTGAGGGCATTGCCTGGGAAGGGAAAGTCATGCTGAAAAGTGAGGCCACGACACGCTGCCTGCAGACAGAAGAGGACAAAGGGAACAGAAGGGGCTGTTCCCTCCGCGCTTTCCTTTTCTGCCTCCAACTCACTGAGGCGTAAGCCCTCACAGATTCACTGGGGAACAAAGCGGGACAAACGCACCGTCTTCTCCTTGTTCTCAAACACCTCCTTGACCTCCTCATAGCTGCAGACCTCCTCAATGCACTCCCGCTCGATGGTGCCCTGCCGGATCTCCTCCAGGAAGCCGTTGGCTCGGGGAAAGCGCTTCAGGACCGAGTGGGCATTCCTGGCCCCCAAGAACACTGCAACACACAAGGTGGAGACACACTGAGCAGGGACAGCCCCACACTTGGCCTCTGCCCAGCTGGTCTTTCCCACCTGGCTTCCCACAGGATTTTGATGACACAGGCATCCCAAACACCAAAAGCCCAGGAACACAATTCAGTTAGCATAGCAGAGTGCCCAAGGAGGGAGAGTACACCCTGAGATGCAGGGCTCTTGGGGTCTGCCTGGAGACATACGGCACCAGGAGCATCCTTCCAGCAGGGCTGAGATGTTAGAGACATTGGAAGCGGCAGCTGCAGACCACATAGGGCAGCCGAAGAAGAGACAGAAGGCTCCAACAACTTGTTTTCAACCTCCTGCCCTTAATGGGCTTTCACCTTGCTGCCCCTTTGCTGCAGGGCAGGGGAGATCCCACTGAGCAAGCAAGACCCCACAGGGCTGAGACACAGAGCCAGGCCTCTCTACCAAGACTCAGGGCCAACACTGAGACAGACTCACAACACATAGTGCATTGCATTCATTTCACAGTCCCTCTGTGCACCACCCCAGAGCCTCCTCTCTTGCTTCACACCTCCACAGCCCCCCCAGGGAAGAGGGTGGTGTACCTGCTTCCAGCTGCAGTGGGGTCATGCAAGCTCAGGTGGCTTCAGGGATGCAGTTCAGGTCTCAGATACTGAAAAGGGCCTGAGCAACCTCTCCTTACGTGGCATCACATTCTCATCCCTACAGCATTTTGGTGCAGAGGCCTCACAAACCTTCCTCTGCTCCCAAAGCCTGGGAGACACTACGCTGTCCACATCACATCTTCCCACAAAGCATGCAAGCCAAACCGAGCAGGAACAGCACCCTCCTGCCTGCAAGAGGCACAGCCCTTTCAAAGCCTCACTCCTCATATTCAGCAGAAGGGAGAGCTCCATGGGGCGCAGGGAGCAAGTACATACCAGGACCTGCAACAGCACAGGAAAGGCAAACGAGTTGTTGCCCAGAAAGCAGACACTCCACACAAACCATGATCCTTTCAGGATCCAAACATCCCATGCACACATTTCATATGAGAGTGTTTCTGTAATGGGGTTCAACATACTCAGCTGTAGGTCGGCACCATCTCTTCCCACCAAGCCACATAATTGTGCTGCTTCCCTTGAGGAAGATGAATTGGTTCAGCTGGCTGATCCGCAAAAATCTATTTACCTCCTTCATCCTCAGGCTCAGTCTTCCATTGGATCAACCTGATGAACCAACTCACACTGCAGCCACATCAACTGATACAGGACAGGGAGGCAAGGGGACACACAGAGTCTCCCATTAGACCAGCTTGGCTATAACAAAGACATATACTCCTTCAGTAAGAAGCTCAGTGAAGATCAAACGTTAACAGTTAGTAAAAAGCTACAAGCTTCTTTCATTAGGAGCCTTTTACCAGAGAGACCGACAGGTTTCCTTCTCCTTTACCTTCCATGTATCCTGCTCCTAGAACAATACAGCAAGGTATTTGTGAGAGTATTTGTAAATATCAATGCAGGGACAAGATCACGGTGTAAGCAACTACTATTGTGCTACACCATCCCCTGGTTGGAGGCACTGTGCTCTTTTTGTGCTGTGTAGGTGCATTCTCCCCCCGTGATTTATTAATGGCTTGGTTCAGTGAGAGAGTTTGCAGAGGGCTGAACCACTGAGGTGTGAATGAAGAGCAGCATGAATGATGTGAGTCAGAGACCTTCCCTCAGAATCAACTTTATTATGCAAACCTTTTTTTTTTTTTTTTTAACAAGGACAACAGAAAAAGCATTTTCAAGAGGCACAGAAGGCATCTTGTAGGAAGGCAGGGATCAGCTTGCCTTGACTTTTGCAGGTGAGGAGGGCTATCCTGGCTGGAGAGGGAGCAGGCTGGCAGGCTGACCTCGAGCCTTTCCAGAATGAAATGAAATTTTACAAAGACACCATCCATTCCGCAGATGTCCCATCCTTTGGTGGAGAAGTCTGGCCTCATCTCCTTTGCCTCCCACCTTGATCAGGCTGCGGTATCAACTCTCCCCTCCTCAGCACTTGAGTCTGAGCCTCTTTCCAACTTCCTCAGCACACCTTGGAGCAACAAGCTTGGCCGCAGATCTCACTGTCAGGGTTTTCCATCCCTGCTGTTACTAGTCACACGATCCCTTCCCTGTTCTGCTGTGCTGAACCGGCCACTATGGTGGGAAATAAAAAGACACACAGGCAGGCAGGTATCACGAGTAATGTTCCAACTGAAAGCATGCTGTGATGAAGGCGTGTGCTTTTCCCCACATCCAATTTCCCTCAGGAACCTAGGAATGGCAGAAAAGCAGAAACTAAGTCACTGTTCCCTCCCCTCCCTTACACACACGTGCAAAGAGCTCCCATGTGCCTGGGGACCAAAGCAGGAAAATCAGTGGCCTTCAGGAAACAAGAGTCTTGCCAACTCCCATCTCCAGCCTGGATGCCCAACTGACACAAAGAGCAGACAGCTGAGCAGGTACTGTCCCCAAACCGCAGGGCAGAGGGGACTTCCCAAGGCCCAGCAGCCTCAGTACTGACCCCTTGTGCCTCTCCAAGTCTTCCCACACCAGCTGGAGAACCGGTGCTCAGGAAAGATCAGAGCTTTAGGCAGGGGGAGCAGGAGCGAGGGCTGGGTTCAGTGCATCCCTGATGGGTTTCCTGAGGTGCTGCTGGCCCCTGGTGGCAGGCAGGCTTGGCCACACTGCTACCCCACAGCTCTGCTGCCCGACTTGGTGGGACACCCAAGGAGCTGCTTCTCAGCAGAAGGGCATGCAGCTGTGTCTGCAGAGGGTCAGCCAGGACTGCACGCTGCTGGAGAGGACGTGATGGTGAACATGCTGACCACCACATCCCTCTCCTGCACGTCAGGGTCACCACGAAGGGGACTGCTTGGCAAGGGACGCTGCCACCACAACCAGTAAGTGCTGGTAAGCCAGCACCTGAGCTCTGGGAAGGAGAAAAAGTAGCAGTGGAGGATGGCAGGGACCCAGCTGGGTCATTAGCAGATTAAAACTGCCTTTTAAAAACACTAAACGCTGCCTGAAGATCTCTGTTCCCTCCTCCCACCTAGCACAGCACAGATAATTAAAGTAAACATACCTGTCACCCCTGGGGTCCTCCTCCTTCCCAGCATGGCTATTGCCTCCACCTTCACAGCTGGCTCCAGTGACACTCCAAGCAAATCCTGAGATCCCAGCCAGATCTCTACATCTCCCCGTTCACATCTGCCGTCCTCCTTGAGCTCCCATCACATCTCTGCATGCAGCCTCCACGCAGGCTGCCCAGAAGAGCGAGGAGGGAGGGTTGAGTCCAGCTCTTTACAGACCACATGCCATCCTCCACCCTGCACCCTCGCCAGTCTCAGCCCAGCTTTAGCTGCTGGCCCTGAGCAGCCCCATCTGCCAGGCACTCCTTCAGATGCCAAAACACAGCGAGCTCCCAGTGGGACAGAGTCAGGCAGCGGCTCATCCACTGGGAACGCAGAGTCCCAGTGCCACCAGCCACACGGGCTACAAAGCAGCGTGACCCCCAGGATGAGCAGCTCATGGGATGCCAGTCATGGGCCATGAGGAGCACTGTTGTTAGGAGATGTCAGCACAGACCAGCAACCCCTGCAGAGGGGCCAGTCAGTCCAAACAGCCTCAGGGAGGCCTGACTTGCACAGCGAGCATCATGCAAATAAAGAAATGATGCAGCATACAGGGAGTCCTGGAGAGGTCAGCCCTTCAGCACCTCCTCTCAACTCCCACCTTACACAGGGGAGAAAGAAGCACAAGTCAGGCCGGACCTCAGACCTCATCCAGGGCTAACAGCCAATGGCATATGCTCCCCACAGAGAATAACGTCCCCCAGAAAGCACAGGTACTCCTTCCTTGAGAGGTGGCTGCCAAACATCCCCATTCTCTCCTCCAGCACCACCGCCACCTCTCTGTCTTGACTGGGGAATACTTACTTGCCATGCTGCCTCACTCAGCTATGGGGGCCTCCTGCCTACCTGCAGGGAAGAAAACAGGAGAGTCACTGACAGCTTAAATTTCACCCCCTGAAGCCCAAGACTTCCATCACCCAGGGCCAGATTCATGCAGAAAGCAGGATGATGCGTGGTGGGCCCATGACAGTTCCCAGCCAAGCAGTGCTTCTTCAGACAGCCAAGGACTTGTGCTGCCTCCCCACTCATCGCATGGCTGGAAGGACCGGAGGGGCTCAGGGCACCCTCTGAGAGCCCAGGGCAGGTCTCTGCCATACTTGAGCTGCACTAACCCAGGGAGGACCAGGGTCCTACCCAAGAAGCCCAGAGGGCTGGCAGACAAGCAGAGTAGGAAGGGAAGAACTGAATGAAGGAGAGTCCCAATTTCTCATCAGCAGACGAGGTGACCTGTGTGTCAGAAGCTGCTGGGAGCAGCCTGGTGCTCTTCCCTTCCACAAGAGATTGATGGATATAGGTAAAGCAGTCACCTTGTTTTAAATCTACTTCGCAGCCATGCCAGTTCTCGCTTCTGCAACTCCTATCCACAGTCTGCATTAAACAGGGCCACACTGTTTTCTCCACCACTATAAAGCTGCCTACACAGCAGGAAAGAAAAGGATATGTGTCTCCTAAAGGTTGTTGGGCCAAGCTAAGGGGCAGCAGCAAGAGCGACAGAGCTCCCTGCGCACCCAGCTCTCCAGCTGGAAGAGCACCTTTTGTGCTTCAAAAGCAAAACTAAACAAAACTCCACAAGAGTGAAATAAAGTCCTGCAGAAACAGAGTATATCCCTCTCTGCTCACAGGAGGAATTTCACTTGTTTTCCACACTTTGTCCTCTCCCTGTGCTTGATGCCCCACTGATCAGACTATCCTGGGCAAACTCATCTCTTCCTGCCTTGTGTGACACCTTGCTGTGGCAAAGCCACAGCTCCGTCAGGAGACAGAGAGGACAGGACTAACCAGCTCCTACAGTGCAATATTTATTGCGAATGAAGGAGCAAACACAGTTAGAAATAGCAGGAACTAAACCATGTGCTGATCTTCAGATATTTAGAGTTATCCCAAAAGCACTTGAATCTGCTCGGCTAGAGCAAGGTCAGAAACAGCACCGAGCTGTTTGCGGGATCAGAAATGCTAGAAACGCATTTCTCATTTCACGTAAAAGGCAGGCATCCAGACACACAGAAGGGCTGATGAACACCACCACAGCGGGCACTACCACACCTCACTAACAGCCACCTTCTCAGTAAATCTAGCACCTCTCCCTGCCAACATCAGGCTTCCCGGGGTTTCTGAGGTTGCTGCACCAAAAGCGGCAAGAGGCCAAGAAAACCTGGAGCTGTCTCCAGTGGTGGAAAGCAGCTTCTTTCCAATAGTTTGTGAAACTCAGATTGCAAACCTCAGTACGGAGTTTAAGCAGGAGCGAGGGAAAGCAGAGATCACTGGAATTACACAGAAGGGGTCTGCCACCTCCCGCACCCCACAGCCCGCACCGCGAGGCCTTTTCCTAAGAAACTGCACACCCAACCCCGCTTCTCTGAGCTGTCCTGGGGGATGAGAGAGCAGCTGAGAGGCCTCCGGATCCATGCATTGCCCCACACGCCGCATCAGCTCTGAGCAGGGACAACCTGACCTGCTTTTGTTGTCATCAGTTTTTACCAAGAGACCCAAACCCACAAGATAAAAAACCACACATAATGGAAAACTTGCCACAGTTTTCACACAAAACCTCTGTATTGCTGCTTGTTACAGGCATTCTCCCCCTTCGAAAGACAGAAGAGAGATGCAGAAATAAGGATATTCAAGATCAGATCTGTCAGGACCCCCAGCATGCATCAGGCAACATATTTAATGCATCAGGAACATTTTATCTTTAACTTTTTTCCAAGTATCTGTGCCAATGCACCCAGCATCAGAGCTAAGAGATGGTTTATTCCAGTGGAACAATAAGCCAGGTCTACACAAGCCTACAAGCACGAGCAATGCCCGCGAGAAGGGCAGACATCCCAGACACTTATTTTTATTTCCACACGCAAATTCCTAACCACCTCCCCCGGCTCTGACGAGCAGGAAAAGCTGGACCACCACACGCGCTGACGCCAAGGCAGGCAGCATCCCTCCTGCCTCCACACAGCCACACAAACCAGCAGAAGCCTGAAGCTGGAGGCTGACCTAGCAGACGCCCACCCGGTCCCAGTCCCCCCCCCTCCAGCTTCCCAACATGCGCTCACTTCCTCTATAAATACCCCATCGATAGGAGGTTGCTAAGGCAACCATGAGGAGGCGCGAGGGATGCAGCCGTGAGAGTGAGGATGCTGCAGTCGCACATTTGTGTCTCCCCCGGGCTCCCCTCATCTCCGCCCCCGCTCCTGTCACCGATGCCAAAGGAGGAAATCGTGCTGGTAAAATATGATTCGTGCACAGCGCTGGCCCCCCGCAGACCTCGAGCAGGCGTGGGGTGGGGCGTGGGGGGCACACTGGGAGGTGGCACCTCCTCGCCAGGCTGGGGGGCACAGGTACAGGTTGGGGGGGATCCACAGACGCCAGTGACGTGCCACAGCACGCAAGGAAGCTGCCGGCGCTCCTGGCATCACGTAGCCGTGGCTGCCAGCCGCTCAGCAGGATCCTAGCAATATTTGGGGTTTTCCATGCCAAGATCCACAGCGAGGAGAAGAGGCTGCACCGGCTCCACTTGCCAGGGGCCGGGGGGTCCCCACAGGCTGCCAGGAAGCTTCGCCCTCCCAAAACAGCCTTCGGATCCCATCCGACCGCACGTGGCCGGTCCTCGCGCTGCCCTCGACCAGCATCCACCCCGGCCCCTCCATCCCAGCACCGGACCTGCCTTGCCCGGACCCAACTCCAAATTATTTCCATCACCCTCAGCTCCTAGTGTCACCCCACAGCAGGGTGTGTGTCGCCCACCCCCCAACTCACCTGTCCCATCCGCCCAGATGTGAGCTTGTCCAACTGAAAGCAGCTCTCCAGCCCCAGACGAACCCCCCCGCCCCACTGCCACATCCCCCCGCCCCACCAGCACACCCCACGTCCGCACACCTCTTCTCTTCCCCAAACGCTCGCAACCCCCTCGCCAGCTCCCCGACCCCCACCTCCCCGGCCCCGGCCCCTTCCCTCCCCGCCCAGCACCCCATCCCCGGCCCCCACGGCCCCTGTCCCCCACCCCACGACCCTTCCCCGCCCCGCGTCCCCCGGCAGCGCCGCCCCGCCCGTACCTCATGGCGGCCCCGCGCCCCGCCGCAGCCGCTCCCGCCCGCCGACGGGGAGGGGAGGGGAAAGCCCCGCCCACTCCCCCACCTCCTCCCGCCCCGGCACCGCCCCTCGGCCAATCGAGCCCCGTGCCGCCCGAGCGCACCGCCCTCCCCCTCCCGCGGCTGCAATAGGAGCGCGGAACGGGAGGAGTAGGCGGGGCTACAAGCTCCTCCCCCCAAGCCGAAAGAGGCTGGTGGCCAATGAGCGAGGGCGACGGCTGCCGGGAGGCGCCGCGGTGGCTGCTGGGAGTCGTAGTCTCCTGGCCGCGGCGCGGCGGGCACGGCCCCCGGGCGGGCCGCAGTTGGGCCGCCCCTGAGGGCCCGCGGCCGAGGGGTCTGTGCCCGCGGGGCAGCCGTCTGCCCGCACCTCCGTGGTGCCGCTGGGCCTGTCCTCGCCCTCACGCTGGCCTGCCCGGGTTGCCTGGCAGTGGCGGGGCACCTGCCACCATGTCCCCTGCTTCCTCCTCCTCCTCCTCCTCCTCCTGCTCCTCCTCCTCCTCCTCCTCCTCCTCCTCGCTGCCCGAGTCCTCGTAGAGGCAGAGGGTGGCCTGCACCGGGAAGTTCTCCAGCAGCTTCTCCCCGATGCCATACAGATAGTCAAAGCACTTGGACTTGGGCCAGAGGAGCCTGTGTGGGGAGAGCCGGGGTGAGACGCCCTGCCTGCCCGCTGCCCGCGGCCCCCCCAGGCACCGCCATCAGGGCACCTACCTGACTGGGTGGTGGAAAAATGCCAGAGCTTTGTCGGGGCCGCCGTCCCCTGCCACCCCGCGAGTCCAAGCCTGAGGAGACACAGCAGGAGCGGGACCTGTGCTGGGGCTCCCGCTGCCGCCCTCCTCCCAGCGCAAGGGCAGCGGGGCACACGGGAGCCGCGGCTGGCAGCGAGGGCAGGGACCTTTCTCCCTCCCCTTGGTGGGGGTGATGCCCCAGAGCCCTGGCAGACCCGTGCAGGGTCAGCCTGCCCTGAAGCTGGCATCTCCCCCTTCTCCCGCCCCTCAGTTTAGATCCTCATGCCCCCACAAAGGATGCTAGCATTTAAAACCCCCACAACGGGCTTTTTGCCAGCATAATCTTCCCCCCCTCCCCGTGCTCAAAAGCTAATGCCCAGGCGTCCCGCTAACCCCCTGAGGAATGCCCGCCAGGCCTGGGAACAGTTGGCCCTTTCAGGCCCCCGCGGCGCGGCTGTGCTGGCTGCGGCTGCCCGGGGACGGGGGGTGTCTGCTGGGACAGGGGGGGGTGTCTGCTGGCCCTGCCCCGGCGAGGCTGCGGGGCTCGCGGGGCAGAGGGGTGATGCACGGGCCGGGGGCACGGTGCCATGGTGCAACAGTGCTGGGGGGTGAAAGAGTCTGGAGCAAGGGGCTGGTTTCCTGCCGAACTGGGATCACAACGCTGCCAGTGGGAAACCGGGGACACGGACGTGCAGCAGGGAATGTAAAACTCACAGTGTCCATCTGCTGCCTCCGCTGCCCGGTTCCTTCCTCTGCTCGGGGCAGCCACGGTCTCCAGAGAGGCAGGGATCTAGGTGCGGAGAGACGTTCAGTGCAGCGGCTGCCCACCCTGGCCTGCTCCCCCCTCGCCTCGCTACCCTCCACCGCAGCCATTCGACCCCAGCCCCGCAGTCTCACCTGCCCAGCTCAGCCCCTGCCCGGGTGCGTGGCTGGGGTGCCGGGCATACGTGGGTGCACTCATACTACCTCGGCCTCAGTGCTCCTCACCCTGCTTCAGCCCCCCCCCAGCACCCCTGGGAGCTGCTGGTGTTGCTCCCCAGGCTCTGCACCCTCTCCCACCGGTTGCCACTGGGATCAAAGGGGTCCCCATCAGAGCAGGGAGCCACACAGCCTTCACCCGTATCTAGCTGGATCCTTCCCCATCCCACCACCCGTGCATCCCCTGCCCTCCCCACCCTCCCCAGTCCCCCCCAGCTGTGCAACACCCAAGTACCTTCCCCCTTGCTCCAGCCCCAGGGCTGGGCAAGCACTGGCCACAGGCACCCGGAGCCCACGGGGAGGCAGACAACAGGCAGCAGCTTCCATGGTGTCAGGCAACGGTGTCCCCTCTGATGCTGCAGACCCTTGGCGAGGACACCTTTATAGCCCTGCCCCAGCCAGGGGCTCACAGATTCTTTTGGCCAGGGGAGCAAGGGACTGGGGGTGCAGGGAAAGCAGTTCCCAGGGTGTGAAATTTGTCCCAGTTGTGTAAACAGAGGACTGGGGAGAGGGTGGGGGTGGAGGGGCTGTGATCTCCGGTGGAAAAGCAAAACACAGAAGGGAAAAGTTAGACACCATTTGTGAGAAAATCCCCAGGGGGGGAACAGGGGAGGGCAGAGACAATTAACAAGGATGATTAAGTGCTCTTTGTAGCCATTTGCATAAGGGAGGGGGGACGTGAGGAAGGGATGGGGAGTGCTGGGGCAGCATGATGGGCATGGGATGGGGACAGTGCAGTGGCCGTGTGATGGGACAGGGTGGTGGGCTTGTGATGGGGACAGTGTGATGGGCTGCAGTGGTGGCAAGCACAGAGCAGCCAGGAGGCAGGTGATGGGATGCTCAAGAGAGGATGGTGAGGGAAGACGGATGGCAGGGGCAGATGCCAGGCAGCAGCAGGGCAATGGTCCTGCTCAGGCACCCACGGCCCCTGCTCAGATCACACCGGGGAGCTGCCAGGCCCTGTTCCTGCACTGCTGGTGCAGGGGGGAGAGCACACACTTGCCCGTCCTCCCTCCCCTCTCTTTTGTTTTTTTGAGATGTGGACCATACCGGGAGGTACAGGAAAGCTTCTTGATACGTCCTGTCCCTGCCCACTGTTCCTGCCCAAGCACTAGAGCCAAGGTGCTTCTGGAAGACAGGTCACCTCCCACTCCCAAGAAGCTTTCAATGTGGGACAGGGAAAAAAAATAGCAAATGGTCCCTGTTGTAGCTCTGCTATCAGCATCCAAACACCCCTGTCCAAATGCAGGCTGGACCCTGCTCAGCTCCAAGCACAATTTGTCACCAGAGGCCCTCCCTGCCCCTCTCCATCTGCGGCAGCCGGTGAGCAGGAGGGGGCACGGGGCCAGCACAGCCCTCATTGCTGTCTCCATTTGCTCCTCATTTGGGCCAGGAGTCTTACAACAACAAACCCCGCAAAGGACAAGCAGGGCCAGAAGGAGCGAACCGAAAGCCCAAGCTCACCCTGGGGGCATGGGGAGTTCAACCTGCTGTTGTTTCACTGCCCCTCCAACCCCAGCATGGGCGACTCAACCCAAAGTGGACACATGGACAGTGGCACACAGTCACCAGCAAGCCACAGACCTAAGCCACTTAGGCAAACCTACCCTGATAATTAAAAGACAACAAGCAAAACGAGGCATCCCAGCTCTCCAATCCTTCCCGACGCTGAAAGGGTTTAATTCTGGTCTGCAATAAGCCTCTGATCCAGGCTGAGATTTGCAGGTGGATTTTGCAAAGCTGTAGCTAAACAATTCGCAGTCCCTGATTTCCCGGCCCTGCCCTGACCAGCCACCTCCAGTCCCGGGTGACCCCCGGCCACAGCCACCTTCGGTCCTGCACCGCATCTCCAGCTGCCTCTGTAAGTACCGCAGAACTCCGGCATGACCCTCCCGTGCATTTTGCTGGCACCCCAAGCACCCCAGGTGTTTCTTTTGCAGCAACACCCCTGAGACTGAGTGAGAGGTCTTGGTTAATGCACAGAAAAGGAGACAGAAAGTTGGGAAACTGTGGTACCAAGCATTTCAGGTGCCAGCGTGAGGACAGGGAGAGAAGTGGAGGCACTGGGTGGTGGTGGTACTCAGTCGGGAGTGTTCCCAGGGTGAGAGGCCGCCGGCTGCAGTGTCGGCACGGTGTGGTGTGGGCTCAGTTCAGTTTCGCAAGACGCCGCAGGAGGAGGAATTTTGAAACAAGGCAGAGGGAAAACAAACCAACCCACTCCACCACTTCTGCCAACCCCCCCCCGCCCCGCGCCGCCCACACCCAGGACTGCAGGCAGGAGATGACACCAGCAGAAAAACCCCCGCCAGCAGCAGCGAGCATGAGCTGCACCCCAGTGTGCTCACCCCACGAAGGACGGGTCACCCCGCTTGGTCGGGGCGCTTCTGGGAAGCATCCCCGAAGCGCTGCCAGTGTACTTTGCCTGGATGTCATTCCACCCTCTGTGGATCTCCAGACTGTCCTGGGGACGCAGGCGTCACTATCAATCACATGCATCCTTCTCCATCATTATCCGCAGTGGCACGGAAAGGCCATAGCCATGGTTCAACCTCAAGTGGGCACATCCTGTTGTCCCACTAGAACCTTGGCAGCTCGGGGCGGGTGGCAGGCGGCTGCAGATGCTTTGGGTGGGCAGTTGCAGATGGGGATGAGGCGCAATCCCCCTTCTTCTGCTGGAGGAGCCTCAGGGCCACCACCTGAAATCACCTCCGACAGGTCCCAAATAACATGATGCAGCCGTAGCTTTTTGGCTTCCTTGTCCTGGGTCATCACAGAACACAAGGGATCCTCAGGAAGGCGGCGGGCACTTTCCCCCTGCCAGCGGCCGGCTCTCCATCCCTGCCCACGGCCCCGGCACAAGGGAGGGCTTTGGCGTCCGTCCCGGGCAGCGCTGCTCTGCCTCTGAAGTCTGGCTGGAGAGATAGCGGAGGTGAAAGGGCGCTTGGCGCTCCTCCACAGGCTTGGGTCAATTGTTAATCGGGAAGGGATTGCTTTCCACTCTTGCAGGTAACCTCTCCTCTCCCCGGCTCCCACCCACACGCTGGTGCCCGCACAAAACCGGCACCCCCAGGAGTGGGGTGGAGCTGCGGCGCGGTGAGCGGAGCCGCCGGCGGGGCCATGGGAAGGTAAGCGCGTGGGAGCGAGCTGCCGGCGAGCCGGGTGAGAAGCCGCGAGCCCCAGGGAGGTGACAGCCAGCCCTCACCATGGTCTCCATGGGGCTCCAGCTGCTGGGCTATGCCGTGGCCTTCCTGGGCTCCATCGGTACGCTGACAGCCACGCTGCTGCCCAGCTGGAAGACCAGCTCCTACATCGGCTCCAGCATAGTGACAGCCGTGAGCTTCACCAAGGGGCTGTGGATGGAGTGCGCCACATACAGCACAGGCATCACCCAGTGTGACATCTACAGCTCCCTGCTCAACCTGCCCGCCGACGTCCAGGCAGCCCAAGCCCTGATGGTGAGCTCCTGCGCCGTCTCCTCCCTTGCTTGTCTCCTCACTGTCATGGGCATGAGGTGCACCGTCTTCAGCCAGGGCTCGCCGGGCAAGGACCGGGTAGCAGTGGCAGGCGGCGCAGTCTTCATCCTCGGGGGGCTGCTCTGCTTCATTCCGCTGGTGTGGAACATCCATGTGGTGCTGCGGGATTTCCACAACCCTGTCCTCCCTGACAGCATGAAGTTTGAGCTTGGGGAGGCACTTTACCTGGGCATCATCTCCTCCCTCCTCTCCCTCGTCGGTGGCTTCATCCTCTGCACCTCCTGCCCTGCCCGGGATGCAACGGCCACCTACACAAGCACCTACCAGCCCCGGCTGCTGGCAGGCAAGAGCCACCGGCCCTCTGTCAGCCAGACACAGAAGACCAAGAGTGAGCTCAACTCCTACAACCTGACAGGATACGTGTAGCGGCTGCGGGTGGGAACCGGGCTGTCAGCTCTCCCGGCTCCCCAAAGCACCTGGACTGGCACCAAGGGAGCGCGGTTAGAGGTGAGGACACAGCAGCACTTCCCATGCTCAGCCCTCTCACTCACATGCTTGGAGGGTTTGACCCCACTCTCTTCCCGGGGCTCCCGAGAGTCTTGTGACTGGCTGCTTGGACATCTCAGCTGGTGGCTTACATCAGTGAAGGACCCCGAATCCGGCTTCTGTTCCCTCCTCTGTGCTGCCAGTCCGCAGGCAGCCCCTGCCACAGCGGGACCCCAGCCTACAGCCCCAGCAAGCCTGCCTGGATGGGGGGGTGGGTGCACTTGTGCCCCCAAGGACCAGCCCGCTGGCCACAGAGGTAGCACAGCGGGGTCAGGGGGTCCACGTGGGTCTGGAGTCGCCACCGTGGGGGTTGAGTGCTGGTTGCAAACTGATGTCGCAATAAATCTGTGTTTCTAGCCAGGCTGTGGCTGAGCTTTCCTCTGGCACTGAGGGGCCCTGGCAGCTCCCCCAGCAGGGTGGGCTGTGGTGGGGTCTCTGCTCGCCCGCCCGGCGGGTCCACAGAGCAGAGATCACCCCTGCACCTTGCTCTGGCCTGTGTCCCCCCACCACCACCACCACCGTGGCTTTGCCACCCAGGAGCCCAGGCAGAGGGGCAGGGAAAGTGTCACTCCCCTACACGTTATGTCCCTGAGCACCACGCTGGGGGGTTGCTGTGTGCTACCACTGCAAGGGTGACAGTAGGGGCAAGCACAGCTCCCCAGGGGCTAACAGCAGGCAACAACCCCCCAAGCCCTGCTTGTTTCTGAGGGTGCAGGTATCACTGAGACTGGGGTGCCCACAGGGGCATTCGCTGTCCCCAGGTGCATGTGGCACATCAGGGTCCCCAGGCGGTGGGGAGAGCCCTGGCATCACCCCATCTCCAAACCAGGATGCTGTGAGCACCAGCACTCAGGAGGCAACACGGTCCCGAGCACCTGAGGCAGCCGCTGGCCACAGCAGAGGCTGAGCACCCCAACACAGGTGCAGAGGGGTCTTGAAGGTGGGCCTGGAGCCCAGGGGTCCTTGCAGAGACTATTTTGGGAGGAAAAACGCCACCAGCGAGACATCGGTAAGCTGTGGTGGGATGTGCTGTGTGGTTGCAGCCCTGCACAGTAGCAGCAGTGTGACAGCTCGCACAGGCTGCTGGTGGCACTGGGGAATGCTGGGCATGAGCCAGGGCACGGCCAGAGGAGAGGAGACACAGCCAGCCCAGCCCCGCAGCCCACCGACGAGCAAGTACATTTTCACCACCATGCCCCCCATGACGTCCCACCGCCGGAGGGGAGACAATGCCTACGCTGCTGTGCCACAGAACAGAGCCACCCGGGGACCCCCTTGCCCTGGCTCCCTGTCCCCCAGGGAGCAAGAGGCTTTGGTCTACATGCTGGCCCCTCATAAAGCAATTTAGATTAGGTCCCAGAGAGGAGGGGACCATGTTACCTGCTCAGACGTCACCACCGTTACCCTTGCACCAGTGAAATCATGTTTGCCATGGGGTTAACACACTCCTGATAACAGCGAGTCACCTTTCTCCCCTCCTCACTGAGCAAGGGGCCACCCAGGGACCCATCCCCAGGGTAACGCTCGGTAACGCTCGCTGGAGAGGACCAGGGTGGATTTCAAGGCAAATGCCAGTCACCCCCTTTACGTGGCCAAGGGAAAGGAAGGCCACTGCCCCAGCCCCGGGCTGGCTGAGTTACTTATTGTTGCCTCGGGGAAAAGAGAGTCCTGGGTGCAGAGGATGGAAAGTGTGCAAGGGACTTAGCCTGTCAGCTGCACCCCCCCAGGAGATGCCGCAAATTCAGTTAAGTCCTTCAGCTGTAGACGTTTTGTTTCTGGGCAGCTGACACAGAGAGAAGGCGAGAAAATAGTTGGTACAAGAGGTCGTGCCTTTGAAGAGGAGGAATTCCTGGGCACTGCGTTCTTGCCCCTTGCCTCCCACCCTGGGCTGCGGGGCCAGACAGCACTGCCTGTATCTGTGGGCAGAGGCTCCACTAATTAAACAAAGGGGCATTTGAAATGCTTGATTCAGAGTTTGATTGCTGCCGGGTTAATTAACACTTTAATTCAAGCAGCAAAAGAGAAGATTTCTGGCTTTAGAGTCAGCTTTTGCACAGCTTCCCCCCAAAGGAGAGAGGCAGCCGGGACAGGCAAGGGCTCAGGTACAGAAACACCCATGGTTTGGACAGATGAGCACAGGTCAGAGGCACTGCAAGGGGCCCCAGCGTCCCCTCAGGTTTCTTTTTCACCTGTGCAACGCCAGACCCCGGTTCCATGGGTGCAGCATGCTGGCTTCAGCTGCGGCACAGCAGGAGAGGAGCTGACAAGCATCACACTGAAAAGGGGGCAAGCCTCCCCCCAGCCCCCATGCCTCCAGCCCCTGCATTAAGTGTGAATGGGCTCGGGGAGGGGGGGGGGGGGGGGGATAGGTTTCTCCCCTCCAGCTTTCCTGTCCTTTCATTTGAACACACCCAAAGATGTGAAACTTGGCCACAGGGCAAGGCAGGTTGAAAAGGATTTTCTACTTCTTCACCAGCAGGAGCAGAGGACGGGGAAGGGAAGGACAACGGGTGCACAAACGTGGTGGCAGTGGTTATCTCTGCCTCACGCAATAACCCCGTTATCGATAAGCCGGGTCCTCAAGGGCAGGCTGGATGCAGCCCAGCCCAGGGCCAGAGAGGACAGGAGCCCAGACTGGCCCGGGAGCCAGCTCTCCCGACGGCGAGCACGAGCAAAGTGATGGAGCTGAGCCAGCCAGCGCAGCACAGAGCCAGCCCCTCGGGTCAGCTCTTGCCCCTCACCAGCTCTGCAGGGAAAGCTGAGGGTGCTCTGGGTTTTCCCACAGGAAATCCAGAGGAGCACAGCCCCAGCTCAGGACAGGAGTGGGATGTGAGGGCGGACAGGCAGCCAGGGAGAAAGCAGAGGAGGGGTGGGAAGAGGCTGGGTGGGGAATGGCTCCCTCCTCCGAGCTGCCAGGCTGGAGCCCGTGCCTCACAGGATGGCAGGTGAGGCAGGGAGCCTTGCAGTCCCCCGCCGGAGGGCCAGGCTGCAATGACTAATCCCCTGTCATAAGGAAACAAGTCCTTCCCCTCTCTTCTTCTTGCTCTGGATGGTGCCTCAGATGAAGAAAAGGGACAATAAAATACTAACATGTCCTTATCTTCAGAAGCAATAGAGGCACTATAAACACCCAGCACACCCAAACCCGCAGCTGCACCTGGGCCAGGGGCTCCAACCTCATCAGATGGTCATGAGAAACATGCAAAAAGTCCTGACTTCATCCAAAGAGGGAACAACACATGCTTATCACCGAGGCCTTTGCAGCCATGCGCGGGGCACCCCCACCCACCACCCACAGCACCCCTGGCAATGCCCTGGCCTGTGCAAGCGGAGCCTCTTCTCGTGCAGAGCACTGGGTAGGGGTGCCCAGGGCTGGAAAGGGCACAGGTTTGTCCCAGACCTGGCCAGATCCCATTCCTCCTTCCTCCCTGAAGCCTTCCAAGCAAGCAGAGTTTAGCTCCTTCTGGCACCCCTGACCTGCCTCTCATTCCTGCCTAGCACAGCTGACCTGAAGTAGCAGCAAATAATCCATGCAAGCTCTCTGAGCAGTATCAGACCAGGTGCTGGGAGAGCCTGTCTCTGCCTGCAGCCCCCGGGAAGTGCTCAGATAGGAGAGGCAGGAGGGGGAAGAAAATTCAGGCCAAGTTCCTGATGAGCCGAGGCACTTGGAAGGGGCCTCCACATTCCTCCACCCTCCTCCCAGCCACGGCACACTCCCAGCTGCCTCCCGTGCCACCAGAGCCTCCTGGCCCCTTGGCAAGGCAGGGCTAGTATGGAAGAGGACAAACTCTTCCTACCCATGGCATTACAGCAGCCTTTTCAGGAGCAGCAGAGGATGTGCTATGGAGAAGGGCAGCTCTCAGACACTTCAAATCATGGCTGAGCTAAGCAACAGCTCAAGTCATGAACTGTGCTGGTGGGAATGGGAGATGCACTCCCTGTCTCAGCCATGCCCCAGGCCCCACCAGATGTCCCCACTGGTAGCCACGGTCTAGCCCAGGAAACAGCCTCACAATTTCATCTCAGGGTATCTACGATGCTTGGCTCGCAATTGCACTCACATTTTACTTCCCGAAGCCTTGGGGATGGTCCCATCTGGAGTCACACAGCTGGGGCGCTGCCATGAGACTGTTGGTGCCCAGCTTTAGTGGAAGACGTCGCAATGGAGGTGAGGTGTAGTGAGAAACCAGCTCCTCTTCAGAAAACACCTTCAGTCGAAGGAAAAGCCTGTCTGCAAACTCAAGGCTTTCTATAGCCTCCTGGAAGAGACCTGTTTAAAGGCGCTTTAAATGATCTTCTAGTCTTTAAAGAAAGATATGAGGGAAACAGGGTGGAATGAACTCCATGGCACCACAGGGAACAGAGACCTTTGGGTGCACCAGAAGAGATTGCTAGAAAGCACCTTCCTGGCTGGGTTTGAACAGCAGCTCAGAAATCTATCACGAGAGTTGTAAAAAGTATTTATCTCGGAAAACCATGATACCTGTGGAGAGGACATGGAGGTTTGATCTTCCAGGCATTACATTAACATTGCAATCAGATTTCTCCGTAATTTGAGTCTAATCTATGCTAGAGGTGCTTCAGGTTAGTGATCTCAGCAAACCTAGCATAACATGCAATCTGTAGCAGGGAGAGCAGGCTTTATCAGTAGAACCTACACCAATTCAGCAAGCAAAATAACCTTTATCAGCAAGACACACTTTTATAGTTAAACATAAGCTTGTCCAGGGATTTTACAAAAATGTCAGTGAAAACAGATTCCATGTCTAGCCATAATCTGCCCCAGAGACCTGGCCTAGAGAACTGAAAAGAAATTGTCCTGCACCCTCGGCAGCTCCACTGCTGGTAGGTGGTTAAACAGCACTGCTCTGCACAGAAGAGATGAAGACCAGAGGATCCCAAACACCTTTGCATGGACAAACTGAGTTGTAACCACATTAGCCAGTCCACAGAGACATCCCAAGCAATCCAGTCTACCAGCCTGTCATCTCCATGCTTGGAGTACACTTGAGGGCACCAACATTTTGGAAGCTGCTAACCTAGAAGAGGCTCAGACCCCAGGTACAGCCAAGCCTCTCCAAGCTCTCTGCTGTGCACCGCGAGTCTGGAAGAAACAAGAAGTTGTCCCATAAGCAGAGAAACCAGGGAGGCTACACTGGCTCTAGGGTTGCCTCTTATCTTCACTTGGGATTTCAGAGGAAGGGTGTGCTTTGATGAAACTTTTCCCACACCAGAGAACTAATCTTTCCTCAAAGCCTCTTTTCACAGGTGCCTCTTTTCACAGGTGCCTCTTTTCACAGAACTTATAACACTCTCTATTTCTGGGATGTCCAGCCTGCTAAAAAGGCTAAAAGCAGGACAAGACCCACGTCACAAGCAGTATGATTGCCTTGAACTCACTTTCCTAGAAAAGCTGTCCCTCTAGATTTCTCAGGTCACTGGAGCAAAGTCCCACAACACCAGCTATACTTGTCAGGTACTCCCAAGATTGCTCCGACAGATGCATTTTTCATTACCCAAATTTTTAGCTCTTTCCTTTTGCAGGGGTGGGAGCAATTCCAGCCTTCAGTATTTTCCAAGGCATAGAGAAGCCCAGGGATTCTGAAGGCATTACAGAGCTAAGGGCAGACCACAGCCATCACTGGCTCCACGACCGTCATGTTCCCGTGCCCTTTGAGCTATTCCAGTACACTTTTACAGGAATGAGGGTACTGCCCTTTGCCTTTGGATTTTCCCCCAGCTGCAGTGGAGGCCAGGCACCACATCTCACAGAATGTGGGTAGGCGAGGGGGCAATTAACCTCTGATCTCCCCCACAGCTGAATGCTTCCTCATTGGCCTTCTGCTCTTCCCAACCCACCTTTATTTTACAGCTTGCAAACTGGCAGGTCATTTCACCCCAGGCCTGGATGCTGGGCTGTGCAAGGCTGCTCTCTCCATCTATGTGCAGGCAGAGGAGGCACAGGCTCCTCTGAGCCAGCAGATGGAAAAAACAATTAACTCCTTGTTTTCAAGGTGAGGAGAGCAGGCATTTCAGGACCAAGGACTTCCCTTGGCAAGGGGAAGTACCTCTTTGCTTCAAAGCAAAGCCCCTGGAAGAGGAAGGAGGCTCCCAGCACAAAGCCCCCATAGCTCAGCACCAGGGAGTGAGACATGAAGAACCGCTGCTGCCAGGAGCCTGCTAACACACCTTAAATTCCCACCTCCCAGGGCAGAGCTGGCTATAGCAGACCTGCCCCTGTAGCTGACATCCCAGGGCCTGCTCACAAACAAAGGTCTTGCTGTGAGTTATGGACTCCTTCCCAAAACTGAAACACCCCGTCTCCCAGATATACTAGAGTGACTAGCATTCCATGTAAGCCCATGGGCTGATTTCTGGCTTGTAAGTCTGCAGTTGAAAACAGCTAAGTTTTACCACACAGATCACAGGCAGATTCAGGTAATCCATCCAACTTCAGTACTTCTGGCTGAGTAAAAGTCTCAGGGGAAGAAAAAAAAAAAAAAAAGGAATAACCAGGGCAAAACATACTGTAAAGGCAGCCCAGTTTTCTATGAAGAGACAAGTTTATCCTCAGCTGTCCCTGAGCGCAACTACCCTTTTTCCCATGGGAGATCTCAGCAAAGCAGAGGGATGCTGCTGACAAAATACAGCACTAAAACTCCCAGCTCACCGGTGGGATGAAGAGAGTTGCACCGCCTGCGGCAGCATGAGCTGAGGAGAAATACAGCACTGTTCTTCCCTGGGTGCTCACACCACCTGCCTGCTCCTGCACACCTCTGTCCTGGGTTCGGCTGGGATAGGGTTAGTGTTCACAAGAAGTTGGGAGGGGGCACAGCCAGCACAGCTGGCCTGAACTAGTCAGGAGATATTGGATACCGTATGATGTCATGCCCAGTATATAACTGGGGGAGCTGGCCTGGGGGTAGGTGGGATTTGGGATTGCAGCTCAAGAACAGGCTGGGCATCTGGTCCCAGGTGGTGAGCAATTGCATTGGGAATCACTCACTTTGTATACTCTTTTATTAATATTGTCGTGGTTGTTGTTATTTTTTCTCTTCTTATGGTGTCCTATTAAACTGTCCTTATCTCGATCCATGAGGGTTTGTTTTTTTTTTTTTGTCTTCCAATTATCTTTCCCATCCCACTGGTGGGGATGTTGGAGGGAAGGAGTAAGCAAGCAGCCGCACGGTGCTTAGTCGCCCAAACCACAACAACCTCTCATGCAACGCTGGGAAGCAAGGGCAGGACAGGCTGGGTTTCCCCCACCCTGAGCCTTGCTAGGGCTGCTGGCTGCAGCCCTGGGACTTCACAAGGCACAGCACAGTACTGACAGGGAGGATGCAGAGAGCTCTGGAAGAAGGCTTTGCCAAACAGCCTTATCTTTGAGATGCTTTTCTGACCTCCTCACCTGCAATAAGTATTTATCTTCACTACACAACTTAATCCCCCCAAACTACTATGGCATTAACCTTCTGGCACAGGCACTGTTGAGCAAGCTTTGAAAGATGCAGGAGAGAAGTGCCAAGTTTCAAAACCAGGTTCTTTGATACCACCTTATCTAAGGAAAATTAATAGCTGCACTGTTTGCCAAGTTACATCCATTTAGGAAACACTCCATCGCAAAACCACTTTGTGTGTTATTTCTTTACACAGAGGAAAACAAATCAGCTCAAGAAATGTCAAAAGACCCACATATTACTGCAAGGAGCACATATTTTGCTTTGCTGGTAATGCAAGACACAGAGAGGTGAGAGTATGAAGCCTGCTAACTGTTCACAAGCTGTTAAACGCTTCCGTAGGCTCACGGATTTCTGCCGATTGATGCTTGCATCAAAGCTGCCCTTTGCTCACCACCTCCTCATTCAGCAAAACCCATTCCTGTCACTAACACCCGAGTGTCTGTTTTCTGTACATCATGCAAATACATTCTCCTTTCCCTGGGTGGCAGGAATTAACCAGGACGAGCTTCGAGTTGCACAGGCTGTGCCACAGCTACTTCCCGCAGACAGGGTCTAGCCCAAGGGCTCCACACATGACATGACAAACATTGAGGATGTCTGTGAATAATCTTCTAAGAAAATAAGGTCAAGCAGTATTAGGGATAAAGGTTAGATCCTAGGGGTAGTTATAATGGGATGGAATAAACAAGACGCAAAGAGGAGCAGAAGCAGCTAAGATTACTAGCTCAACACATATGTGCTGTGAAGAGCATTGAGATCAAGCCTGAAGGAGGTGTGGACATTTCCCACTTTAGAAGCAGCTTTTGAGAAGAAAATAAAGGTCTGACTCTTCCCCTGCCCAGGGTAGATGCTTCAAAGGATGACTGACTTTTGGGATAAAATTTCCTAGCATGATCAGCTCCCCAAGATCGCTGGCTATTTTGCACCTCAGAAACCATGTTTCATGCAACCATAAAAACTAATGCAAGTATCCCAAACATTGTGAAAGGAAAACTTCGACTCATTGGGATATCCTGGTGCAGATTCAATCTCAACAGCTCTATTGAAAATTAAATGGGATGGGGGCATAGTCCTGTGGTTTGAGGACCAGCTGGTGAGATGTTAAAAGCAAAAAAACAAGCATGAATGGAGATAAGAAATGCTACCTTCAAACTATGAATGGGGGGAGATAAGGGAGCTACCTTCAAGCTGAAGTGTTACCATCTGCAGTACTGACCTGAAAACATAGTAAACAACACAATCTGAAAATGTCAAGAGAGGTCACAGAAACAGCTCTGAGATCTAGAAACATGAGCTGAAAACAAAACAGGATTCAACCAGACAGGAAATCAGGAACGGTGGAGAGAGACAGCACCTACAGACTGCAGAAAAAAACACAGTTGTATAGACACGACCTTTCTATCTCCACTAGCAACAGTGAAAGTAGGATATGTGGTAATGTAAGTGCAGCCATGGGGGAAAGGACGTGACAAAGTCCTTACTGTGCAGAATGGGGCACCCTCTGTCCACATAGCTGTGTTGCTCAACTCTGATTTTCAGGCAACACATACTACCCATGTTTGGAGATACCGCCTAAGCTGCTGGTTTCTGTCACATGGTTTTGTGCCTTTCCAGGATAAATGAAGTGTTTGAGTCAAAGGAGCAATGCTGTTCTGGTCATGCACACACCCTCTCCTCCATATCCAACATCTGAGCGAGAGAATGTGCTTCAGGAAGGACAGTGAATTCATGACTGCAAAGGGGGCTTCTCCTCAGTTCCCTTAAGCCAGTCATTTTATACCTGTAGGAAACCATGTTAGATTCAGGAAGCTTCTGAGCTGGAAATAAATATAGGCTTGAACAATATTGAACTACATGCACTTGCCCTTGCTTAGTTTCTTCCCATGAACCAGGCTGGAGGCAGGACAGGGAGCTGCAGCATCCCTTGGTCTGAGTGCAGTTGTTCCCACGTCATGTCTGACTACTCTTGAACTCCATGTCTTTCTCCAAACAACCTGTGGTCCTTGACATTTTTCAGGTTAAAAGGATGGTCATGCTGCTGGCTAAAGAAGAGTCTAAGAAAATAAGCCTAAAAAGAAAGTTTAAAGGTGAAGCTCCCACGCAGGACAGCATCTGCTGAAAGAAGCTGGGCTCAGCCACACTAGCCCAGAGCCTTGCAGCAGATCTGACTGCAAGCCCCAGCATCACTGTACCACTGACTGTTCCCATAGCTACACGGAAAGATAAATTTAGTTCAAGGAACCTTGTGTTGCTACATTATTTAACAAACAAACAGACGCACTTAAGAGGAAAACACAGGCAGGACCCAGTTTAGCTGCTGCGTGGGCTGATCAGACCTATGAACTTGAGACTGCTTCCAAGAGTGAAAGGGTCCAAATCCTGAACCTCAGCACCACGCTGCTCTAGCCCGAGCCAGTCAGCTGTGTTAGTCACAAGAAGATTCCAGTGCAGGCACAGAGTGCCCAGGCTACGCTCTCCTGGGATACTTCTTGCCCAGGAGCCGGGCAGCCACTGCCAGGGTCTCCCTGCCTCTCTGCTACTCAACCCAGATGCTAAGAAGTGCAGCAAAGAGGCCGTTGGGAATATCCGCTGGCCAGGCACAACCCAGCCTGGCTGTGTTCAGAGCCATGCCCATACTGCAGTCCCCTCTGCTTATACTACCTCTGGGTTCCCATGGCCTGGGGAACCCCAGCCCCCAGAAATGGGGAGCAGAAGAGCCATGCTGGTCCTACAAGACCAGAGAAGGGTGAGGAGAACTCCAGGCCCCACTAGAATATTGACCTAGGGCACAAGTAAAGAAACCAGGGTTTTAATAATGATCTTGCGCAAAAGGCACAGTGAGGGGAGAGAAGGGACTACTCCAATTTGAGATTTGTCTCCTCCAGTATGGTCTGGTAGATGTCATCCACATGATGTGACTCAAAGTTCATATTCTGGAGTTCCAAGGAAGGGAGGATGAATGAAAGAAACCAGCTCATATTCATACGCAGGTTCTTAAGTTTCTCCATAACACTGTAGGCAAGAAGACAAAAGCAAAGAGGAGAGTCAGTGGCGAGAGCCTAGATCTGATACCTCCCATCTCACACTCAGATGCTATCCCCCTTCCTACCAGAAGTACCATGTGCACTGAGGTTCCTTGCTCCATCCCATTTTTTTTCTCCATTAGAGACCCTACATTGTGCAAGGGATCCAGCAACAAGATGCCACAGTATATGACAGACACAGTATGGACAAAGCACCTTTCTGTAGGGCATCCTTGAAGCTGGATCAGTTACTTGGATTCATCTGGTGATTTCACCTCCTCACAACAGCAGGATTCTCACTTATAACCCAGTTACCTATAGAGCAGGGTGATGGATACCAGGGAAGCAGTGTCCTATGGAAACAGCAGCCCACGATGACTCCTGCCCTCTCCTCCCCACCTTAGGGATGACAAGGACTGCCAACCAGCCAACCCACAGCTCTGACCTTTTCATTTCTTCTTTCTCTGGGCCTCTGTAGGAGACCTGTGCCTCCCTCAGCACCCCTAAGTGCATCTCTGTCTCCTCTGTGCATCTGGTCTCCTCTGTGGACCTCTCCAGCTTTGCTTTCAGCTTCTGCTGCACAGCTTGGCAGTAATGTGTATTTCTTGCTGCAGGGCAAACCTTCCATCTTCTGAGCTCTGAGCAGTGCCAGTTCCTGTTGGAATTTCTCAAGAACTTTGTTTTCAGGCAACACTTCTCATGCTTAATTTTCTCCTCCTGAAATGGGAGGTGGGTGCGTGCACAGGAATTGTATCAATTGGTATCATGGTTTAACCTTGACCAGCAACTAAGCCCCACACAGCCGCACGCTCACTCCCCCCTAAGCAGGATGGGGGAGAGAAATCAAAAGGGTAAAAGCAAGAAAACTCACAGGTTGAGATAAAGACAGTTTAGTAGGTAAAGCAAATGCCATGAGCACAAGCAAAGCAAGATAAGGAATTCATTCAATACTTCCCATTGGCAGGCAGGTGTTTAGAGCCCACATGGCATAGTTATTGGTCACCAAAGCCAGCTTAGGCTGGGTCACTGCTGCACTTGCACTGGTTCTGGTAAGGCTTGTCCTCCATTGGTTCAGTTGGTTCCTGCTGTAGTAATTCCTGTAACATGCAACTCAAATAATGGTTTACAGCAGTTTAAAGGTATTTCCATTGCAATTTCCACCCCTGATTGCTTTGGACCCAACCATCAGGTTTAACATTGCAATGAACTCCTCCTCTTGCCCCTGTTCTGACTCGGAGTTTTCCATGGATTGCAGTCCCTCAGCGTTGTACCTGCTCCAAGTGGAGCCTTAGCTACACGCCACAGTCTCTGCAGGGATGCACCTGCTGCAGCACAGACTCATCCACAGCCACAGTCACTTCGAGGTGCACCTGTCCAGTGTGGCCTTACCCATAGCCACAGTCCCTTCGGGAGTGAACCTGCTCCAGCACAGCCTTACCCATGGCCAGAGTCCCTTCAGGAGTGTACCAACAGTGTCATGAACTTCAAGGTGTTTCAGAATGACCTCATGCACAGCCACAGATCCTTCAAGGTGTACCTTCTTCAGCATGGACTTATCCTTGGGCCACAGTCCCTTCAGAGGTATACCTATTGTGTCATGGACACAGCCATAGCCACAGATACTTCAAGGTGTACCTGTTCTGGCATGGGTTTATCCATAGATGCTTCAGGGTGTCCTGCTCCCATGTGGACTAATCCGCAGGTCACAGCCCCTTCGACTTGAGTTCACACTGGAGTTCCAGTCTGTCCAGTACAACAGCACAGAAACGGCAGCAATGCCCTGGCCATTGGCCAGCCCAGGCGCGTCGCCATTGCTGTTATCAGAATGCTACCAGGCACAGCAGAGTAAGATGATAAGCAGTACAGCAAGCAACAAAAGCAAAAAGCAGCCACTAATGAGCACTCGACTGTTATATACAGTAAGACAAGCAAGACCCATGGCAAGCACAGAACCTGTCAGTTAATAGCTAAACAGCAATAACAGCTATAAATTTGATCTAGCACATTCCAATCAAATCTGTCATTATCTCAAACCCTTCATGCCCCACACATTGGGTGTCAAAACAAACTGCCGTGGTTTGGCCCCAGCCAGCAACTAAGCACCATGCAGCCTCTTGCTCACTCCCCCCACCCAGTTGGATGGGGGAGACAGTCAGAAGGGTAAAAGTGAAAAAACTTGTGGGTTGAGATAAAGACTGTTTAATAGGTAAAGCAAAAGCTACACACGCAAGTAAAGCAAAACAAGGACTTCATTCACCACTTCCCATCAGCAGACAGGGGCTCAGCCATCTCCAGGACAGCAGGGGTCTGTCATGCATAACAGTTGCCTAGGATGACACCCTTTGGTCAACTGTAGTCAGCTGTCCCAGCTGTGTCCCTTCCCAACTTCTTGTGCATCTCCAGCCCACTCGCTGGTGGGGTGGTGTGAGAAGCAGAAAAGGCCCTGGCACTGTGTAAGCACTGCTCAGCAACAGCTAAAAACTCAGGTATGTTATCAAGCCTGTTTTAGTCACAATACTAAAACATAGCACCATATGAGCTACTTTGTAGAAAATTAACTCTATGCCAACCAAAACCAGCACAATCAGCAAGATAAAAAGAGCTTTGCCAGGCCTGAAGAAGTTAAAAGTCAGCAGATCAAGGAAGAAGCCCACTGCGTTCTTTATGGAGAAGTCACTCCTCAACTCACTTTGACCTGCTCTCTCCAAAACACTCCAAATCAGCAGTAAGCACAGCCACAGATTTGTTACTTTGCAGTGGAGCACTCTGCTGAAGTCATCTTCTGTTCCACAAGGATATTCTCCACCGGTCTTCTCACATTCTCCCATTCCATTATATCCTCCTGCTCCTGTGTGTTAAGAACCTGCAAATCTCTTCCTCCTCTATCTCCACTGCTGATGCATGGGGCATTCTCCACCTGTGATATGTCAAGTCTTGCCTTCCATCCTAAAGGGAAGATCCAAATGGGAGCTTCACCATTTGCAGCAGTCTTCGAAACATGAATTGCCACAGAGAGCCCTTTGTCTATGTCTTTTGTGCTCCTGTATGAATTTACACACAGATACAATGGCAGCAGTGATGAGAAACAAGAGGAGCCTGGGGAAGAGCTGAGGCAGGGAAAACAGCAGCAACAGGAGGTGTTTGGCCCCACCATCACAATGAGAAGCAGCTTTGAGAATTACTGCTCTGAGCCAGCTAGGGATAAGCAGTACTGGTCTTATCACACAATGTTTTCAAAAGGGGCCTTCTCCCTCCCCAAGATCCTGCTACGCACAGAAGGTCACCCAGACAGATCTGTGATCCACTAACCAGCGGCATCATGTGCAGAGGGCCATAGAGGGAGAGATGCCAAGGTCCACTCAACTGTTACGACGACCCAGCAGCCCCATTGCGGGTCCTTCCTCGGGCAAGCGGCGGGCAGCCCCCGTGGCCGGGCAGAAGGGACAATTTCGGGTCACGGCCAGGCAGCCCCTCAGCTAGGCATGTAGTGCCACCGTGTGGGAACAGTCCACATTGCTCTCTCATAACAGGCAGTAAGGGTTTCAGGAGAGGGTGAGAGAAGCTGAAAATCAATCAATCAATCAATCAATCAATCAATCATATCTCAAACTGCTCTCCCTGCTCCTTGAGTTGAAGAGAATGTGAGACGTATCCACAGAAATTCTCCCAGCCAGAATCCTGCTTCCTTGCTGGAAGCCAAAAGGTATGTTTTCTCTCTTGGGTAAAGATATCCTCTGTACAGAGCAGTTCACAGACAGAAAGAGCTGAGTGCTCCAGCCCTGGAGAGGCAATCACATCAGCTGCCATCCAGACTGACCATAGGGCTGGAGAACTGTACACGTGGAGATGAATTTAGCTCCGAGGGCGTGAAAGTGTTAACACAGATACACAGAAACCAGAAGTATTTAAAAACACCAACTTTTCAAGGATTTCTGTTACTCCTTCCATTCCACCCTGCTCCCTTTCTCTGTCTGGACACTAAAGGATGAAGGAGTATTTGAGTCCTGCAGATCCCTCTCTCAAAAAGGGAGGGAAGAGCAGACTTCCCTGGACAGATCCACTAGCTCTGGCCAGGGCTCCTTCTAGAAAATTGCACCTCACAAAGACCTTCTACAGGGCCTCAATACAGACCCCAAAGAAGGGACAGAAGATAGAACATGGTGTGGGGCAGTAGACTGCAATCTACCACTTACCTTGCTGTTAAATGTCTCATTTTCCCCTGAGGTCTATCTCCTCTCTGAACTGCAATCATCTTTTTGAGAAAAGGGGGAAAGGCAGCAGTTCCATAAGCACCTTTTTATTCAGCCTTCAGCTTCACAGTACAGGTGAAACTGCTGATCCAAGCAGGCCAGGGCATTGATGCAGGGGATGATGTCAGGGGAAAAAAGTAAGCTTTAAAAAGGGTAAATGACAGCCCTTGATATGTCAGCTGCACCACAGAAAACCAAGCCTTAGCCCAGAAGAAAGAGGCACAGTAAGACAACCGAGTCTGTTCTGTGCAGGTTCCACCATCCAGGTATTAAATCAGGATTCCCCAGCAATAACCATCCTTGGGACTCAACCAGCAGAAGTCAGCTCCCAGCCCCTCTAACACCCATTTGGCTGCCAGGGCCATTATCTCCATTAGAGACCCAACATTGTGTAAGGGATCCAGCAACAAGATGCCACAGTATATGACAGACACAGTATGGACAAAGCACCTTTCTGTAGGGCATCTTTGAAGCTGGATCAGTTACTTGGATTCATCTGGTGATTTCACCTCCTCACAACAGCAGGATTCTCACTTATAACCCAGTTACCTATAGAGCAGGGTGATGGATACCAGGGAAGCAGTGTCCTATGGAAACAGCAGCCCACGATGACTCCTGCCCTCTCCTCCCCACCTTAGGGATGACAAGGACTGCCAACCAGCCAACCCACAGCTCTGACCTTTTCATTTCTTCTTTCTCTGGGCCTCTGTAGGAGACCTGTGCCTCCCTCAGCACCCCTAAGTGCATCTCTGTCTCCTCTGTGCATCTGGTCTCCTCTGTGGACCTCTCCAGCTTTGCTTTCAGCAGGCACACACACTGATCTGAACCTAGGGACACACCAGGTCTTCTTGTTCAACTCTGGACACCGGGCAATGTAGAAGCAAGGATCTAAGACAAGGTTGCTTTTTGCAAAGCTCCATTCTCCCCTCTTCCAGATAAAAAGGGGTAAAAGACAAGTCCAACTACCCACCTTCCTTTGACAGCCCACCTTCTCATAGGATCTAATGAGCCAGTTGTTGTGGTACGTCATGATCCCATAGTGTTTTTTGTTCTTGTAGGTGAATCCAAAGGTGATCTTCAACATTTTGCTCTGAGGGAAAATGTGTCAAGAAAGAAATAAACAACAAGCTCCGGAGGAGGAGCAGAGCAGATGCACAGGTTCCACAGGAAGGAGTGAAACACTCCAGAGAAGCCACTGCATCAAGCAGCATACCATGCTGCGCTCCTCAGCACACCACTCTCCCTCTTCAGTGGGAAAAAAGCGCTCAGCCTTGGCCTGCTAACAACAACCCCAGTGCAGCCAACAATCATAGATAAGAACACACTTAAGTGATTGAAAGGGAGTTGGAAACAGCTGTACTGAGCAGAGCCAGTCTGTCACTGCCAAGTCAAAATATGCCTTGGTTATAGCTTTAATAAAAACTCTGATATGCATTTCTATTACCCTGATAATAGAACAGGCAAGATCTGACCAAAGAAAACTGCCTTGGAGTATATCACAAATGAGATAACTAATGACTAACAATTTTACTTGTGATTAAAAGATAAATGACCAATGTTACAAAACCAAATCAAGTACATCCAGTCAGGGCTGAAGAAATTTTATCAACTAACAATTACACTAAGGTCCATCAAAAAAGAGTGAGCTCTCCTTCAGCAGATTCCAGTTTCACAAATTCAGTTGTAGACAGACCATTATCAGGTTGCGAACTGTAGGTTTAGGATTAAAATATTTCATTAACTACTTTTTGTCTGAATATATTTTAATTTGCTTACTTAGAATCAGAGTTCATGCATTTGCAATGTACATAGTCATTATGTGCTTTCCAATACAATGCCACTTCACCTGTACACCACAGGTGCTAAACTCCAGATCTTGAGAATCTGTTATTTTATGCACACTGGCTATGCAACATCAAAGCACCTTTGAAAGCAAGTGCAAAACCACTACTGCTTGGGCACTACCACTACAGGTTTCTAACCCGTTGCATCTCTGCTTTGTTGGTTCTCTAATTCCTAAGTACGTAGGTACAGAATTTAAGTAATGCCTTTTCATCTTTGGTCAATCTTTTTGTATTAACATAAGCACAGATATTCATGACACAAAATGGCTTTTAAAGCACATAGGAGGAAGAGGGATAAAAGATGCTCAGGTGTAGTTAAAAACAGTTTAAGCAAAGTTCTTTCTGGAAGAGATTTGAAGAATAGATTGTTTTATGCACTTGGCTTTACTTGGAGATACTGGGTTCTGTTCTGTGGACACTGCGCTCTAAAAGCACATGTCCGCATGTGAGCCAAAAAAGTCATCTTTCTCCCAAAGAGCAGGGGTGGCCAAGGAACGGGTGTTGGGAATGAGAAGCAACGTGCTCCAAGAACTCAAATGACCAACTTTTTGTCAGATGGGAAAAGTCAGCAACCAGCTGCTGATGAACAGGAGCTTTCTGCTTTCTTCAGCATGAAGAAAGGCTTTTCTAGTCTCAATCTACATTTTGATACAGTATTTTTTCCACTGAATTGAATAATGCTGTCATTTAAAATATATTTCAGTGGATATTTTCCCGAGCAAAACTGACCAGTCAGCAAAAGACTCGAGCCTTTCCCCACCTCATTCTCCCCTGACACAGCACATCAGCCTTGGGCTCTGGCAGGAACTGGCTTCATGCACAAGGTAAGCCATGAGCCCTAGCACCCACTGCTCCAGCAGAAGCAGCTCTGAGGACTCCCTTCTAAGCTTCTCGGCAGGATTTGGCTTCTCAAAGGTGACCAGAAGACAGGAAGGAGAAGATAATTCAGCCTTTATATTAACTTGAATCCTGGGTTTCTCTTTGTGTCAGACCAGACAGGCCTGAACCCAGATGTGAGGTTGGTCTGGAACCCCTCAATGTGCTGAGGCTGCTGTGGGCACAGTGCCAAGAGGTGGCAGGAAGGATATGATGAATCTTGGCTTGTAAAAATCATGTTCAACACTGGCCAAGCTCTGGGCATTTGGCTGAGTGTCCACCTTCTTCTGTCATAGAACAATCTGCATGCGAGGCTTCAGGTCCAAGATACTGCAGTATGCCTGGGAAGGGCCCAGCACAACAGAACAGGCAGAAGAATTCTAGTTGCATGTGGTGTTTTCCAGGAGATCCCAAAATCTAGTTTGGATTGAATGTCTTTCATCCCCTGTGAGTCATGCATAGAACAAAGCTGGGGAAGATCCATCTGGCTCCCTTTCAGCTCTCATCAACATACCCACAATGAACACTCCATTTCCAGGCCAGAAAACTCTGGAACCATCTTCTGACAGCGCAGAACCTTTCTGCTGGGAATCTCCCCAGCGTCTGCAAGGAAGTCTGCTATTCAAATATCATGCTTGCCTGTATCAAAATTCAGCTCTGGCTTCTCATCTTTATTTCTGAAAGACACCAAACGCAGAAATAAGGACAGTCTCCTCCGATCATCGGCACACCGATCTGCTGTTCTGTATCAAGATCCCAAGGGAACTTCCTGAGGAGCAGATAAAACGGTGTATTTCACACGCTCCATGGATCTCATTAGTCAGTCATTTAACTACAGTTATTTCTGTGCAGAACACCAAAGTAGCAGAACACTTCAGAACAGTCTCAATAACACAGAAATATGGACGTTCCATTGCACAGATGGGAAAAGGAAGTAAATGTATTAATTGATTTCTCTGAAAAAAAAAAGACCACACCTGTGACAGACAAAATGAGATCCATCTCTTCTAAGTGCCTGTGTGGCACCCCAAGCACTTATTTATACAGAGGGAGGAGAAAGAAATCCCTGTATTTGTTCCTCCAGTGGCCAGGCTGGCTGACAGCAGGCTTGAACCACCCAGGCCAGGTGAGGAGATTGATGACACAGACTCCAATGTTAAGAACGAAGACCCTTTATTATTCAGAAAGCTGCGTTTTTATCCCCCTACAAAGTTGTCAATACCCCCACATAAGTGCTTATTGGTTAACATACATTATTCACACACCTATTCTAACATTTGATTGGCTAGCCTAACTACGCATGTCTTTTTTTTTCCTTTGTCACAATAACTTTTTTGCTCCAGGCGTTCTTCCAAAGTCCTCTGTTGTTCACTGACAACATTCTTATTTTTCTGTTATTCCAAAGCTTTATTTTTCTGTTATTCACAAACCTTCAAGGTCTGTTGTTACCTTATTTTTCTGTTATTCAAGGTCTGCTGTTACCTTATTTTTCTGTTATTCAGAAACCCTATTTTTCTGTTATTCACAAACCTTCAAGGTCTGTTGTTACCTTATTTTTCTGTTATTCAAAGCCCTTATTTTTCTGTTATTCAAAAGCCTTCAAGAGCATCATGGCCTTCATTGATGTAAAATGTCTCCACAGCCAGGTGCTGTCTTGAAGCTGTCGCTGCTTTTAGCTCCTCCCCATCCTCAAGGCACCACTGTCTCACCTCACGCCCCAGCCCCAGTTCCAGATGAGGATGTGCATGCCCTTTTTGCCTGAAACAGCATCAAACTGTGCCAGCAGCTCCTCCCTGGTGTTGAAGAAGGTATGGTCCAGGATGACATCCAGGCTAGGCACAGAGTCTTCAGTAACAATCATTTTCTCTAGAAGCCACAGAGTCAAGGAGAAGAGAGTTGCCCAGTCCACCTACCTCCCTTTTGCCACAGGGGCACAAAAAAATCCAGCTGTAGAGAAGTGTGACACAGGAGAGACTACAGGAGGATGGTCTCAGAGAAAGACTGAGCCAGGACAGACATGGCAGTAGGATGCTTTGAAGAAAAACACCTAAAAGTATTAAGCTTTGTGAGGGGCAGCAATGTCATGCCAGCTGATAATGTACAAGCAGTGCCGGGGAGCTGAATGTTCTCAGCTCCTTTTGGCATGAAGGAAACACAGCCTGGAAGTATGCAGGCATGCCCAGGTGGCACCAAAGGCCATTACAAGTGCAGAAAACCAGCAGAGAGCATAGCTCCTGGGCAGGGGCTGTGTATGTGCATCTGCATCGTGGGGTGGAAAGCGACAGAAACAGGTAGCCCATAAGTTGGTGGCATGACTGCAAAGGCTTTCCAGGAGCCAGGTTAGCAGCAGATGCCCCCAAGCAGACATGCAACAAGTTCTAGCCCAAGAAAAAGGGAGTAATGCTGCATGGCAGTGTGTTAACAGCAAGGCCTGCCACAGGTATTCTCCAAGTACAGCACTGATCACAGTTATTCTCACCCTCCCCAAATACTGTGCTGTGCACACATGGCCAAGGGACAGTCACAGGCAGCCTGTGCCCTCAGCATCACGGCAGTGCCACTGGCCCCTGTGTCCCTTTGGAGAAGGGTATCAGCCTGGCCACTCAGCCAAGGGAGGACACTGTTTTGCTGGTTGAACACCATCAGTGGGATAATCAGTCTCAGCATGGACACAGTCCATGCACATCTAGAAAAGCAGCACCACGCTGAGAGACCCTCCAGCCTGGTGAAGATGAAGGCATCCTTCCCCAGCCACACGGAGCCAGGCTTGAAGCCACACAATCCAATGAACAGGTGATCTCTCTTCACGGTCTTCTCTGTGAAACCAAAGCTGAAAGCAAGAGAAACAGAAAGGGGCTGAAAATGGTGAGTGCCTGCCTCACTCCAGGCACAGGTCCACATTACCGCTCTTAACTTTTGCAAAGGGAGTTTAGCTCCTGTTCAACAGGGAAGACTCATGATGACTGCATTGCTGGTAAAGAAACCAAATCCTGCCAGTCCTATACTGCCTTCATCTCTGAAGAACCACGTAAATGGTCAGGAAGAGTTACTCACAAGGAAAATTTCTTTAGCACGTAGGGAAGGACTTCAAACCCTAATTTACCCTAAGCACCCCCACAACTTGTTTTACATTACAAACAGGGAAATCAAGAAACAGAGGAGCAGAGCAACCTGTTTCCAGCACTGCACATCCAGGCCAACTGCCAGAGAGGGAAAGCCCATGTGCCTGTTCTTCATAATTCTGCACCAAGGCCCACCATTCACTGTCCCCTTTGGGACAGTTCGTACCTGCAAGGGGGTGGCCCTCCTCCACTGCACACAATGACAGGGCAGGAAGGGGTCAGGGCCTCTATTTTTTATTTCCTGAACCCTACTCACTTTTCTGAAGTGCTGTGGTTATACATCTGCTGCATTTAAAGAAACTATTTTCTCTGCTTTGCTCCCTGACATTCTTCTTATGTCAAACAGAATGATCATACAGAAACAAAACCAAGCCCCAGCCCCTTCACACCTGTGGATAAGCTATAGAAAAAGAGAAAGGACAGAAGTTTCACATCAAAAGACTCCTTCCTCCAGCCTTAAAAATGTCTAGTCCAAAAGACAATCAAAGGAGCATCAAGAAGGCAGAGCTGCTTTGGCAAAAAAACCCTGGCAAAGGCCTTTATGTGTTTGGCCTCAAAATTCCCTGGTAAAATTATATGGCCCACATCACTGGTTGGTTGAGTAAGAGCTTAAAACCTATTTTCAATGAAGTTAGTTATGTAACTAAAAGACAAGCCCTACTAAACTGAAATTCCTTATCACACAATATTACACTTTAAATTTCTTGCTATTAGCCTGTCTCATTCTCCCTCATTGCTATAGAAAAACATTTCACATAGAAAAATTAACATGATATAAACACATCCTCTAAAGCCGTAACTTATTGCAGCATCCACAGGGTGAGACACACAAGAGGTGAAACTCCTCCATAACACGAGTCTACAGAAAAGGACTCATGGTTTGACTTCAGACACGGATGTTCAGTTTTATGCAGAACTTCTCTATGTCCCAGCACAAAAGCACCTCCTCTGCTTATTTCAATTTGCACACCAAGGAGTCAAATGACTTATGTTAGGATGTTCTACAAGTAAAAAGTTTGCTGTGATTCCCTAGACCACTCATTACGCATTGAGACAGACTATGTACACATATAAGAGCAGTTATTTTGCACTTCTGTGTACTGGGAAGGTAAGGAAAAAGAAGGGAGAGGTGTATACAGTAACATGGGGTGCTTATGACAGGAAGGTAAAGGCCAGTGGCCATGCTCACAGGAGAGAGGAGAATCCAGCCCAGCAACTGGATATGGGAGGGCTCATAGCCCATAACCTGAGCATGCAGTAGGGTTTGCAAGGAGTCATTCCTGCCCCGTTATACGTAGAAGTTAGACAAAGGTGACCCTTTTGCTCCGTAACATCAACGCAGAAAAGCAGCTGTCACACTGTGATGCACATTGTCTGTGGAAAGAAGAAATCTAGGCAGTAAGAAATAACGGTATGTCATCCTTGTTCCCTCCCAAACCCTCTTTGCCTTCAGGTCAGTTCCAAGAAGCAAAAGCAGTTTCCCAAACCCCCTCTTCCAAACAGGAGGTTGATGTCTGGGAAGGGAGGTGGCACGCTGGCTAAACCTCTGGGTGGTAGGGAACATCAAGCACATGGGGTCACGCCGCAACGTAGATACTGATGAACAGTGACCGCTGCTGCCGGGGCTGAGGGAGTTGCGGGCGAGCAGTGCAAATCCACCCAGCAACCACCACAGCAAGTACTAATAAAACCTTCACGATCTCCACATCCCCTCAGTGTATCACACATGTTACAGAGATGCTGCTTAGTAAATCCGTGTGGATATTTTTTTAAAACACACCACAGCCTGAGCTCCGGTACCGGCCAGCCCGGGGTTGGGGCTGAAGCCTGGGCGCAGGTCACAGACTCTGTCAGGGTGCACTGAGCCGTGTCCGGGAGGGCCCAGCTGTGGGCCCTCTCCCCACTGTGTCGGGTGGGGAACAGCTCAGCCAGGGCACTGAAGGGCCACGTGTAGATGGTGCTGCAGCTCTGCAGGTAGCAAGGGCCGAGCTGTGGAGACAGAGACAGCAGCAGTCAGTGCTGGCGGGGCACATGCCCCGCTCAGTGCCGGCCTGGCTGGCCATAGCCATGTCCCTGGCTCCCTGAGCCCGCCACAAGCCACGGGACAGCAGCCCCTGCGCGGCGGTTCCCTACGGCTCCCACACGGGCCGGCAAAGTGTTACCGCCCCTCCCTCCCCTGCCGGGCGCAGCAACATGGCGGCGCCTGATGCTGGACAAGATGGCGGCAGGCAGTGCCGAGCCGCGGCTCAGGCTAGCCGGCAGCACTGGGGGAACCGTGTGGGGAGGCCCCAGCCTCTCCCCTCAGCGGGTGAAGGTGCCAGAAACCAGAAGCTGGCGGCGGTCACAGCACTCAGGCTGAGCTGGCACAGGCTGTGTCAGCAAACCCCAGCCTGGGTGGGTGGGTGGGTGGGTGGCAGCAGCCTCAGCCCAGGGCACGGACCGCCAGGGACACAAGGGCCCTGACAGGCCTGGGCCTGGGTGACTCTCCCGGGGATGTGGTTGAAAGCAGCTCCAGGGGCTGACCTCTGCCATGGCCCCCCCTCTCCTGCTCGGACAGGGCAGGCAGAGTGTGGTCTGTTCGCAGCTCTGGAGCCCAGAACCACCCCCACAGCGATGCCAGCTCCTCAAGCTTGGGCTGGGCAAAGCCTGCCAGCATGGGACCAAAGCTGATGCTCAGCAACTCCACAGCCCCTTTTCTCTTTCAATTTTTCAGCTTGTTCTGAATCAGAATCACTTCCTTGTAGATCCAGCGCAGCCTTGGCCAGATCAGTGCATCTGTGTTACTGTAAGTGCATTTACCGGAACAGTTGTGAGGGGAATCACGCAGCCTGGAGGAGATAATGGCAGCAGGGAGAAAAACAGTGACCCTTGGGAACATTCTCTGCCATGGCTGCATTTAGGTACACAGAGGAACTCTGAAACTTGCTTTGGTAGGAGAGCCTGGTTCCCTCAGCCACCATCACCAAGAGCTTGGATGTTGCTCTCCCGGGAATGCTGGAATACCGTGGGAAGCATATGACATTAGCTTGCCTTGTTCACAAAAACCACTAAAACAGGTCAGCAGATAAACCATGGAGTCTGCCACAATGGTACCCCACCACAGCAACCATCCTCCGTGCCACAGAGCTTTATGGGGATCAATAGTGAGGAGCCAAAACATATTTGTGATCATAAAGCACCTGTGTAACTAGATACCTGTGCAGCCAAATATCTGGGACAAGAGGGGCAGCCTTTTTTCTTGTCCTACCAGATACAGAGCAGCAGCCCCACCAGCTCCAACACTAGTCAGGTACGCCAGCTCCCAGCACAAGAGGCCAGGCCTGAATTCTGCTGACACAGTCCTGCATCAGCAAAGTGCAGCACACTTGGCTCTAGAAGACTTGTGCAGGACAAATGTGAATAAATACAAACTAAGGAAATACTGTAATAAATATATTTATTTACATGGCTTGCTCCCTCCCTTCTTGCCACAAAGGGCTGAGAAGGCAGACACACATGTAGAACAGGAGGAAAAAGACAGTACACCCAAACCATGTAAAGACAGTACCCACCTCTGTCAAGGAAGAGCCTAGTCCACAGCTCGCTCTCTTCCCCACTTTGAGATTTATGGACCTGCAAGTTAACTCCCAACAGTTCTTCACTGTCCCAGTTACAACCAAGGAGTTCCCATGGCCCATGGAAATCCACAAGGTTCCTGGTTATCCATCCCTTACTTGGCAGGGGGGTTCTCTCCAGCAGAAGAGCAGGGGATGGCAGAGTCAGCCTCTGGCGAATGCCCCTTGTTTTTCCCAAATTCAATCACCAGCGGCCTCCCCTGCAGATTGTACCCATTCACCAACAGCATGGCATCCTGGGCTGACTGGATATCTGCAACAAGACAGCAAAATGGGTGCAGGTTACACGGCACGTTGTGTCACAGACACGTGTGGTGTTCAGACAGATGCTCCTGGCTCACAGACCCTCAGCCTGCACTGCGATACAGTGCGGTGCAGGGATCCTCCAGCCACAGTGAGGTCCCGAGTATAAATACAGCATGTCACAGGCTGCATCTCTTCTGTTTTGATGAATCCTCTTACAACCCAGGAAAAAGACTATGACATGACAGGAAGAAGAGGGAGTAAACTCCCCTCTTTTCTCCTTAGAGGGCAGGCTTGGTGTCAGCCCAGTGCCCTGTGGGAAGATGTGGCACCTTCTTGGGTCAGGGAAGAACTGAGAGGCATGAGGCAGCAACTCACCGGGAAAGGTGATAAAAGCCTGACCCCTCATCCGGCCACTCAGGAGGCGGAATTGGATCGGTTGTCTGTCTTCCTTCTGGAACCGAGCAAATAAGGACACCAAGTCCTTCATCGTCACTCGAGGGCCCAGGTTCTTCAAATACAGCACCTGTTCCAGAGACATGGAGGGTCAGCCGGCCTGTGCCATGCAAACAAACACCTTTCAATCTGCTCCCAAGTCCATATACCTCAAAGGTATGAATCAGTTCAGCCCCTCTGCCATCCCAGAGTCCTTCTTCCACCTGCATGCTAATGGTGGAGTTTGGAAGACAGGTGGGTGTATGGAGAAAGGCAGCTCGGGACAGAAAGGCATCATCATGCTTGCCTGTACCAAGTGCCGATAGCTCTAGTTATTCATAAAACACAAACTCCAGCTACAGGTCAAGCACAGTTGCAGTAAAGTCACAGCTGGTCTCAGTCAGGCCCAAACAAGAAGAGCACATCTTGACTAGTGACCTGTCAGAGCCAGGAAAGGCTGGGGCTGAAGTACAGCTCTTTGCCAGGCCAAGTGACTTCCCACTAGAGCCAAAGGTCCACTTCCCTCTCAGAGTAGGAGCTGCTCTCCCTTGGCCAGAAGAATCAATCAGGCACCCTTCAGGCAACAGCAAAGAGGAGCCTTTGCCTGCTGAAGCAGTTTCAGGGCATGCTCATGAGGAAGACTAATAAATCCTGGCTCATCTCAACGTACCTTGCTGGGCTCCCCAGGATGGTAGGATGAGAACCTGGGTATATTACACAGTTCTTCCTTAGAGAGACGGTTCTTGCAGATCTCCTCTTCTGGGACAAACTCTACAGGCTCTTTGATAACCACAAGCCTTGGAGGGGACTGGTGGGGCCTGGTTTCGGGAAGGCTGGCACTTCTGGCCTGTTCTGCCTGCTCTTTCTGGTCTGGAAGCAATGATTCCTCAGTCACAGGCCCTTGCGGGGCCAAGGAAGGGCACAAGCATGGGTCACTCTTGGTAGGCTGGACTTCTTCAGGCCACTTCTTGCTCAGCAGCTCTTGGTAAACACTCTCTAGATGAATCATGGGGTCCTTTTCATCTGTTACTCTCTTCTGAGTGTCATCTAATCCACAACGGAGAAACATGGTAATGTGACTACCACCAAGAACCTGGAAAAAGCATAGACTGCAGGAGGAGACACAGACAGGAGAAACCATGTTCTGACCCTGCCTCCATACATCTGCCAACCAGGCCCTGCAGGTTATTTAAACTAAGAATAGCCTCAGCAGCCAGCAAGTGCTGGTGTCCCAGCTCAGGATGAATCTGCAGAGAGCAGCAGCTCCACCAGGGCTTTGTACAGAGCTCATTTCTTCCAGAGATGTCCTCTCTAGCTTATATGCAGTCACATCTCAGCACATTCTAGTGACTCCTTCAACACATCTTCCTCCTCCCGCATGCACGGCCACAATGTGCCATGCCACCTTTCTACACTGCTATGTGGAACGTAAACTTTTTGGTTCCAGGGACATCAGATAAAGGTCCTGGATTTAAAGAAGGTCCATGGCATGGACTGACCAATGATATCTCCTTTATTTAATGGAGATCAGGACAGAAGTGGGAGGGGCATCTCCCAGTCTACAAGCCTCAACCTTGCTGCCTCTTGGTCTTGCTAAAAGCCACAACACTGACACCAAAGGAGGGAGCAAGGGCCAGAGGACACTGGGTCAGCTGGACATTATAGGTTGAACAGCATCAACACTGATCAAAGTGGTGTTTTAGGAGTTAAGAACTGGCATTTAGAAGTTCCTCCTCATCTTTTATTTAATACTGTTTTACATACAAAAATCAGTCTGGGCTGGAGCTTCATGCTTACATGTTCTCCAGCTAAAGCAGACTGGAGCAGTTTCTGTCATCTCTGGACAACACCTTGACTGTCCATGCGGAAAAGTCATATTAAGCCACCAACTTGGGGACAACACTGCTGGGGCGAGAAGTGCTGTCATCCCCTGGACATGGTACTAGGAATGAGTAACTGAACTCCAATTCCACTTTGGCTACTGGGGGGAGCCTTTAACAAGTCACTCCTACTCTTTCCTGCTCTGTGCCTCTGCTTCCCTCCCATCCTTGCTAGACTGCAGTTAAATCAGAGAAGGGACAATCTTCAGCCCCACACAGGCACCTCATGTCACTCAGCGCAACTCGGTGGGGAACTCTGGGCTCTGCCAATGCATAACCCCAGCTGCTCTTCCACATACTGAGCTGGGCTCTGCAGTACATGCAGCAGTACATCAACGAGATTCATGCTCTCCAACCAGAGACGGACTTTACAAGCCTCTACATTAAACCCTTCAGAGAGCCCACCCTCTGTCTGCTCATGTAAGAGAGGAAAATATCTCCTCCCACACAGTGCCAAACCAGAATCGTGTCTTCAGGGACAGAAAGCCAGACAGAAATGTGTTGGACTCCCACACACCCCAGCTCTCTGTGCTGGAGCAAAGGCAGGAACAGCCTTGAGCCCACAAACCTTCGTGGTAGAGTGCCCGGAGGAAGGAGTGGCGGTCTGTTCCC